CTTTAAGTAACTTTCTTTCTATATAGTTTGATAAAGAAAAAAATGCTTTATTTTTCTATGCTATTTGATCGTATTTCAACTAATATAATAATATTAAATTATCTATAAAACCTATATCGGCTGGTTGTACTAGATCACAGTGTTTGAGAACGGACTAGTTTTCAATCCCTTAATACATTGTATGAACAACCAAAATGTACCATAAGATGCAGTGTGAAAAGCTCTACAATTTACGTACGGCCACTTATTTTATAGTTGCACTTTTTGTTTCCAAAATCGATAAAGTTTTCAGGAATCAAATTTTTGGCATTGAGAAAATTGATCGCATAGAATTTTTCTTTTTCTGAAAACAATTACAATAAGCTTTACTGTGTAGATTGTAGAGCTTTTCACACTGCATCTTATAGTATATTTTTGTTATTAATAAAACTAATAAGGAATTGAAAACTGCAACGCAAAACTTACAACGAGCACAAATACCAATGAAAAAAGGGTTTTATCGAAAATTTATTACCATCATATTAGTTGAAGTATGATTAAATAGCATAGAAAGATAGAGCATTCTTTTCTCTATCAGATTATATAGAAAGAAAGTTACTAAAAGCTTATCATAAGAAATTAAAGCATCACTCCACGAACTTTTGGTATGCCCTAAGTATATTTCTAATTTATCTATTGATTCGTTTAAAGACATAGATCAGCTCGTCTTCTATATGTTAATTTTTGACCTTCGTATTATTATATACTAATATAAAAGCATTAAAAACGTCAGTACTATAAAAGGATTAAAACTTAAGAATTAGTCTTTTCGGAAATTGTTAACGTACTTGAACATAAGACAAAAAAAAGCATAGCGAATGTTTCTTATATTAACATATTAATAAATGATAATCAGTTCTTTCAATAAAAGAGGCACAGTACATATCTATAATGTAAAAGACTTTTTTAGATATAATAGTCAAAAATAGTAAATTGATTCAAGTATTGAACAATAAGTCAATCTGCTTTTTTTTTCTAATTGTTTTCACGATCAATCGCTTTTATCAAGTTCTACATCAAACTAAATAATATAAAAACAACAGATGCATAGTATTTTAATGACGAGGTAATCTAGTGCAAACTTATCTTTATACGATTATGATTGCAAATTGGACGATGTAAATGAATACAATTAGATGAATAATTACGCCCTGAATGATCGCACATGGTGTACGTAGCGCAAGCCGCCAACGTAAATTTATGAGGAATTAAGTGTTCTCAACATATCATTTTTCTAAACATTGCTCATCGTGTATTTTAATCAATTATGATCTATGTTTGTGACCACGGAACAAATTGTGGCATAACAGATGCATCATTATTTCTTATTTATAAACAACAATTTGGTCACTATAAATAATTCAGTTTAATAAATACTTCTCTTATGTTATGGACACACCTTTTTTTTTTACAGAGAATCGATTACTCTATATACAAAATTCTTATTTTCTAGTTCTTATTCTCGAACTGTGTTACCAGAGAGTGTCGACAGAGTTTTTCTTTAGTATTTACTTGCTGATTCTCTATATTGTTGTAAGTTTTTCTCTTGATTAATGTATAAATAAACCTACGGGACTAAAAAGGATGAGCCTAGACGTGTAATATCTTGCTCATGGTATCTGTTCAATGAATGTATGTAAAACCAATGATTTGAGAAAAAAAAGAGCAAATTCGTGATCAAGCAAAGTACGCAAAATAGTCAACATCGAGAAACACACATAGGAGTAGTTAATTGAAAACATGTTACTAGTCATGATTCTGTGAATTGTACTATGTGTAAGAAGAAAATTAAACATTAAAGCATCATGATTCGAAGGACTACTTATTTTTTGATTTTGATGAAATGTCTCTTACAATCATTGTAAGCAAAACACAATTAGTTTGAACGAAATATTGTTCAATTCACTGATATCCTTTATTATACTGAAAAAGAATAGAAAGATCAGGATTTACATGAAGATTCTTTTGAAACCTAAGTTTCATATAAAACATATTGATATGACTACATGAAATAGTTATGACATTTAAGCTTTTCCTTCTAGAACAGGTAACTTATAAAAATACCAGAGTTAAATTAAGATATGAAAGAGATATAACTAGTTAATAGCATTAGAAAATGAAGAATTCTTCAGTTCTATAACGTTTTCGACTGTCGAAAATTGCCGAACTTCATTTCGTAATATTTTCAGGAATCAAATACGAAAGAAAAAATTGCATACTTATAATATCTATATGATGGGTACTATGTTTTTCAATGACCGTAGAGTATTAATGTATTCGGGGATACAACGTGTTTAAAGTATCGATTAAACGTGAACTGAAACCGATATAAAAAGTATCCGGTAATAACTGAAGATAAATTGACAATGATATTTTTCATACATTTTCTAAAGGTAAAAGGTTGAAATTTTTATCTTAAATAACCAACATTTACGAAAATAGAAAAGATCATCAATGATTTCTATTGAACTTATACCATATCAAAACAACATGAAGTATTAGCTGCACGATACATAGAACAATTATTTAATAAACAAATGAGATCAGTAGATAGCGATGGTACACTTGCTGACGCATGAAGATATCGGAAATTTATGAAATTGGTCAATCAGTGAATTTCAGGCTTCCAATAAAACATTTATAGCATCAGAATGAAATGAACTAGAAGGATCAAATTTGCGTAGATTCATAGAGATCAAAAATCTATAGCGAGAATTGACCAACAAAGTTTCACTTTTTTCACATTTCTTTTTACTTTTGATTAGACAAACTTTTGTAATTATCGTTGCTCAATTGTTTAACTATCTCTGAAAAATCAAAGGAAATAGTTGTCATCTGTTGTCTTCATTATCAACGAAAAACAATATGAAGAATATGTACTTATGTTTTTTTTTTTTCTTATCAGACAAACAAAAAAGAAAACAAACAATTCCATTTTTCAGATTTTTCTTTTTTTTACCATAACAAACTGTAGACGAATAAATCTTTACTTCGTCGTCTGTTTATTGACAATAGTATGCAGAACGCAACATTCTTTGACCTAAAGAATGTTAGCAACTGTAGAAACAGTACCTGGAAAGTATTACATCATGATTTTGAAATCTTAGTATACTATAGATTAAGTATGTTGTATGAAGAAAATTTTATTTATGATAGAGAATATATATTATACCTTCTAGTAAAACATCTTGATTTATTACTATTTTACTAGTAGTACAAGATTTGTCTTTGTTCTAATGATAATATTCGATCGTCAAATTACATAATTGATGAAAAGAAAAGAAAATTTTATTTGTATTTATACACCGCAGAATTGTTTACCTAAGAATATTATTTTTGAGACATTTTTAAAAAAACGTATCGTCATCTTAATCACTTTAAAATCAACAAGAATTATTGAGAACATTATGAATTTTGTACTTTTGAAAAAAAAAAAAGAAGAAATTTCAAACAATAACGCAAAGTTTATTCTATATTTTAAATTTTCATATATTTATCGAGAACTTTGTATCTTGCTAATATTGCATAGAATAGTCATTCGATTGATATTTCTGAAACATTATTATGATTAGTATTATTCGAATTATTTTGTTCAATTCCCATCGCATGTGATGGTGCAAGTGCATCCAACAAGGAATGAAAACGTACATCACGACAAGCATTTCGTTGTATAATACGATTTTCACGTTGTTGTAAAGCACATAATGATTTACGATCAAGAAGTGTGCTACGTATATCAATTGTTTGTACAAGTCTTCTATAATCAGCTAAACAATCAACGTGAACAATACGTTTGTCATTACGATCGAGACATCGCAAAAGACGTTCTATTTCATTTGGATGATAACTATCTGCTGAAATTTGTGTACTTGTTATTGTACTTATACTAGTTGTTTTTGGTCGTTGCCAGCTATTTATAGGTCCTGAAGGAGCCGATGGATTTAATGTTCTCCATGCAGGTACACTCAATACATTGGTTTCAGGTTCAGATGTATTCATACTGGTAGTAGGACGTTGTTTAACATGTGAAGCTTGAACATTCGTAGTAGGTTGACGGCTCGGTCGATGATAAGCTGATTGAGCGCGATTTATACGGATAGTACTCATTATTTTATTGATGAAGATAAATAAATATGTTGATTGTTTTTGATCGATGATGTTCAAAGTTATTTGTTTTTGCTTTTTTAAACACAAAAGAAAAATTCTTTTATCGAGTCCTACTGAATGACATACCTTACACCGGAGAATGATAGTTTGAATAAATAGAAAAAAAAAAACAAGATCAGTTTTTACTTGTCATTGTAACGTTCAAATATTAATTTTTTTTTCTCACTTGTTTGCACGTAACTAACAGCTAGATTTTTGCTTTTATGATACTCGATCAAAAATAAGAGAGCAAATATTTCTTTCTATTTTTTTTTTTTTTTTTTTATTCTTATAATTAGAAATCAGTGAGAATCACTTCTCAGAACTTTTTGCATCTAAAGTGAAACCTTTTATAAATAACAGACACAAACAAAACATAGAAACGAACGAAATGCCTCATTGTTTCGTGTCTAATCAATAACAATAATAGAATAATATAAAAATTTTCATTAATAAAATGTTTTTTTTGTTATATAGAAAAACAATCGTACAGAAAACAAGCAACAAAATTTTCTATTAGAAATAATTTTAATAAACTTTTATCAAATGTTCATTTGTTATTGGTCGATTTGATGTCGGACATCGATGATATCGTTTAACATACTCATTAATACATGCATAACAATAAACATAACTAGAACCAAGTATTACTGTTGGTATATTACATGGATGTCGACAAATAGGACATTGATGTTTACCATCAATTCTAGATCGTTTTCGATTAGTTATAGGTAATAATAGATTGGTGACATTATTAACAGAGTTTTGTTTTGAACCATAAGATTTACTCCACCAGTCGACTAATTGAATAAGAAATAGACCATTTGAAATAATTTGACTAATTATAGATAAAAATCGACTATTATTTGAAAATGATGGAATAGTTGGTGATGGATCTTTGGCATAAGTTAATTTAACATTTGCTAAATGAAGAGTTGGACTATAATATTTAGTTAGACCAAATGCATAACTCAAACGATAGAGCCAACTAAGACCATCGATGAGAATCTTTAACAAAAAAAACAAAACATAAGAACGTTATTTCTACTTATTGTCTGAGAGACTATTTATTATTATTGATTTTCAGATTAAGAGCTTACTTGAATTTTAGGTAACATTTGCAGAACCATATAGTATGTGATATGACGATTAGTATTGTTGGTATGCATTTGTTTATGTAATGAATTAAGTTTTAATTTAACATAAGGTAAAAATACCGAAAAAATAAGAGAACGTAACTGATGATCTGCTGTTCGTTTTAATCCATAGACATGTTCACCAATAAGAGCTGAATGGAAATGAAGATAGAACCATTGTAGAATACCTTCAATAAGTAATATGAATTCATCTTTATATTGATAAAGAATTTTAATTAAATCAGATAATGGATGAATTCGTTGTAAAATTTTGAGAATTTGTTGAAGACAAGGACGAATTAAATTAGTAAAACGTTCTTGTGCAAGTAATTCTGATAAACTTGGTAAAATTGGTGAAAGAGAAGTAGAAGATGACATAAAATCGAGTGCTGAATGAATATTTGTCGATGACATATTTGTTCAATGAATAAAAGATGATGATTGTTAGTGATTTAATGATTTAGAGCGTAACGGTAAAAACAAATCAATTCATTTGGTGAGACGACATCTGGATATGATGGAAACATCAAAAATAAGAACTTATGATAGAAATCTATTACCTCATATAATATATCCACATATATATATATTATTTTTTGGAAAACTGATTTTCACACAAAAGATGACGCTACACTACATGAGTACAATAGATTAACAATATAAATACAAAATGTTACTAAGACTACCCAGTTCGAGACGAACGGAGCTAAAACGCATTCCGAACGAACGAACAACGTTCGATACGGTGCGAACATGCTGTATACAAGCAGACGAACATGTTGTAGATCGGAACATGTTCGTCTGCTTGTATACAGCATGTTCGCACCGTTTCGAACGTGTTCGTTCGTTTCGACCTGGGTAATTAACGAATATTAATCGATCAGAAGAATTTAATATCATAGATGATCTATATCAATGATGCGTTTCATATGCTATTAATATAAACTTTTCAAAATGAGTTTTATTTGAAGTGCATTGATGGATTTCCAATTGAGCATTGATCTGATGATTTAAGCATATGTGATTATCATATAGATTATGCAATAGTTGTCCTTACACTTTTGTGCAGCTAGTCGAACAGCATCATTCAGTCAGTAGAAGAAAAATTTTAATTCTATTGAATAATGTATTCGTAATTAATTCATCAGAGAAGAGGAATACCAAAAAAAGATGCATATTGACGTGACCACCTTGGTAACGACGGTATGTAAACATTTTTTTTTAATATGCTGATGAGAGATTTTTTATTAGAAATTTTATCACTTATTTTCTAATAATATTTACTTGTATAATGTAGAAAAAAAAGTACGAATAAGAATAACATAAATTGAAATGAATTATAGAAAATAATTCTCTTGCAAATGAATTTTCTTTTGAAGCGTAATTTATTGTATATATAAAAAAAAAAAATTAATGCCAACTCATGATTTGCCTAATTAGATTCATACAGTCTTAAAAAAACTATTGCGGCAATATTAATACTGTATAACCTTCTTTCTTTGTGTAAGGTAAGTGCAATTGAAGATGTGAAGTAACTTAATAAGCATCATTACCAAGATTGATTCCTTCGTTCTATCAGTTTTTTTCATTATAAGTGTCACATCTGTTGGACATTATTGAATAAAATCAAGGTCTAGCTCTATTGTCTATCTTGTATTAAAAATCATATGTTGCAAAGATGATGATCAAGAAATAATCGAACATTCAATTTAAGCATCTTGAATAATATTCAAAATAAAACTATAAATTGAAATTATTACTACAACAATGATTTAGAACAATGACAGCAAAAAAATGATGCTGTTTACCAGATTAATTGATAAGTCATAATCGGCCTAAATTTCATCTGTTTCACCTAGAAAAGTTAATATATAAAAAACGAATAAATTCCTACAAACAAATGATTGAAAATATGAGTTGTATTTATATATATAATAGAATCTGTAAATATATTGAGTAGAACTATTAAAAATAATAGTATTAATATTCACTTTATTTTATCTTCTACAATACTTTCAATTAGTTATTGACTATGTGAAACTACAACTACTCGAAAAGAAAAGCTTTGATTAGATTACTAACTAAAAATATGTCAAGTAATTTTATGCACATTCATTAAGATCTTTTAACCCTTTGAGGCCCAGTGGGATATATATTTCCCACCTTGAGAATTTTGAAATCTTCGAGTTTTTGAGAATCTTGGAGAAATATTTTCAATATATGTTAGAAGCTAGCAGAGGTCCGTACAAGATTGATTGGATAATAGAGTGTATAGATGACATTGAAAAACGCACCTTGCGAAGTTTTGACCCNATTGAGGTGGATTGGTAACATTGATTTCAATCGATTAAAATTTTGATTTTGTTGCAGAAAAATCCGATTATCAATTTCGATTACGCCCATAGGATTTTTTAATTTTAATCAATTTTAATCCCTAAAATTTTTCACTGGGTGATGACCTCTGCGCCGTCAATAGGCAGTCTTTGTCCTGAATTTCTTCTCTAAATATCACACTTATCTTTCTTAATGGACATCGGCGCAATTTTTTCAAAACATTGACCTTGAAGAGGCGTTTACTCTTTGCTCGTATTGATTTTGAAATTGCTTTTGGACTCGACTTTCCACTGAAAAATATTGTCAACGGCACCATTGAATACCTTATTCTTTTCACACAATTTGTGCTGTGAGAGCTTAGTTCCATTCACCTGGTCGTTAATCTTGTTGACAATTATAAAATGATATTGCGACGGCATTTTTCAATTATTTTATCGAACGAGGTGAAACGCGGCAACCAATCATTGTTTTCTCTTTTCGCTGAGTGTGCAAATAGAAATGTATATCGGTAATATTATTTGCTACATTGGGCGAGTCCTTTTTTTGTCTCATTCAGAAAATAATACCGATAGGTAAGAAGCAAGACAATAGTATACTGGATGAAAACATTCGAGAGCTTCATTTCCAGTAAAAATCGTTCGTACAGTCCGTCGAGTGCCCACTTTAGAGGAGATGTGCCCCATAGGAATGAAACGGGTTGAGTGGCTCGACTTTTTGAAAAATTTTGCTATGAACTTCTGAGAATTGTATCCTTGCATAGCTCCTTTATTGACGAATTCATTGACCTTGATGTCTATTTCAAAGTTTATTTCGTGCAAAGTGACAACCGGAAAATCTTTGATCAGTAAAGAGAATAGGCAACGTCAAACTGATGTAGAAAAGTAAAAATTCTTTGTTCGTTGGTTTCCAAGACTGAGAGACTAAGGTCTAGGATCGATAAATAATTCACAAGTAACGTTCATTGGATGTTGATTCACTTAATTAAGAAAAAATTTGATTGGTAAATCACATATCCAAGATTGGGATTATCCGCACTCGATAAACTTTAATCAAGTTTTGTGAAAAATCGTCGAAACTTATTTCAATGTTCCTGTTGATTCCATGGATACATGAACTAAGGGCAAAAACTTCCACTAACATCAAATTCAAACTTGAAATTTCAATCGATTTTCAAAGAACTCAGCAAAGCTCTGCTTTTAATACGGTTGTTATGCAGAAAAATCACTTTCGAGCTTTCCTTTAAAGTTTCAATTAAATCTCATTTTTATAACTGACTGAGTTACGATCGAAGAAAACAATTTTTACTACTGTTTGTCTGGCTATATCTGTTCGATTGGAAGAGGAAACATACTGTCATCATGTTTGGTATGATTGTGAAGCTATTTTTATGCGCATTCGAACTCCAAGAGTTGAAATAAAGTCTGATTTTCAGGGATCTCGGCACGTGAGATCTGATAAGCAAATAGAAGAACGAAAAATAGGCGATTTGTACATATTGATATTCCACAGTCTGCACTTTCTAAAATAAAAATTGCCTGCTGCTAGCTACTTGCTTTTCTGAACTATTCTCGAGGTACATCTAGCCTGTTGACGTTAGTGTTGCCAATTAGTTCCTTGAAGTACATACCAATCAACATGATTGAATTAAGTGTATACGCAGTTTAGTTTTTCTGATACTATCGGATCACTATCATGATTGAGCCGAAAAATGACATTGGTCAGCAATGGACTTTTCCGAACAACACAGTAGTCAAATTTGTGTAACCATAGAGAAAGCATTGAATTTTATTTCCATAAAAATTGCTGAATCTAAAGCTGTTTCAGTAAGGCTAGAAGATCAATCAGGATTTTTGCTGTATCGATTGTAAATGTCATATGATTCTCGGCGCTCACTCGATGAAAAACTCTTCTAAAAGATACACTAAGGCGATGTCACTCCTTCAATAGCTCCAAAATCAAAATAGTCTCAAGGGTCTCAGAAATAGTCATTTCTTTCAATCAGGTGGTGTCCGATTATGGTAGAAATTCACTCGAAACGCACTCGACCGAAATCGTTTTAATACGTTTTATGAAATCTTTCGTATGAATGCCACATTCTTCGTTCTTACCAGGAAAAAATACCGTAGAGCCACGTTAAAACTCAATATACGACTTTAAAAACGGATTTAAAATACCTGATTTCACGTTTATGGCGTGCTTGGGTATGGAGCTTATTATCACTGTATAAATATTCTGAATGGAATAGAGATCTTATTATTCCTCATCCTGTGATTGAACAGTCGTATTTATTACTATTGACTGTGTACTTTAAAAATCGTAGTCTAGATGAAATACAGAATGAATTTACATGCTATCTATTGTGTATATGATAAAAATCAGAGCGTATATTATCTCTGGAACTTGCATACAACTTTAACTTGTTGATCTTGTTCTATGTGTTCTATTTTTTTTCTTTTTGGAGTGACATCGATCGTCTTCAATAATGAAGATTCTGGCTATGTATTCGTGTAAGTTCATCAGTGCTCATATGAGAAAAAATGTATTAATATTTGTTCGTATATTAAGGTTTCCTTTTTTGCTCCTGCGCGTCAGTGACGTCAGTCAAGATTAGCCTTTGTGCGCAATGGAATACAACGGGCGTCACGGTGGCTGGTACTGGAAAGGCCGGCAATTCTAGTTTTCAAATTTCCAACGCAAAAGGAATTTTCATCCATAAAAAAAGAAATGCATTGTATGTGGCTGATTTTGACAATCATCGCGTTCAAATGTTCTCACCGATTGAACCATCTACTATGGGCATCACTGTGGCATCCAATGTGAAGAATCCTATGAAAATCTACGTTGATGAGGATGGTGGACCGACTGTTTATGTTTCACTTCGGTTTTTGAACCGCACCGAAAAATGGATCAATGGAGCATCAAAGGGTATACAAATGGGTGGTGAATGTAACTTGTGTTCAGGTGTATCAGTTGACAAAGAGAAAAATGTCTACATGACAGAGGCGGATACACACCGTGTGGTCCAATGGTCACCTAAAACCAATATGACCACAGTTGTTGCTGGACAAACAAACACAAGTGGCTCGACAAGTGCACTTTTGAATCATCCTCAAGGCATATATGTCACTCGAAATGGTGACACAGTGTACGTAGCTGACATGTGGAATAGTCGGATCCAAAAGTGGCCGAAAACAGCTCACGAAGGGGTGACTGTGGCTGGATCAAGCAATGGTACCGAAGGTCATGATAATGCAACATTGTATTATCCAAATGATGTGATCGTCGATGAAGAAACCAATGTTGTGTACGTAATGGATACAAGCAATCATCGCGTTCAACGATGGCTATCCGATGCTACCGAAGGTGATACTATTGCCGGCGGAAAAGGTATGCATTTTAGGAAAACCGTGTGCGATTTCATAGCCGATGAATATGGTTCGAATTGAAAGAGACGTCATTCGGCTGAGTTTTACATGCTGGCTTCGAATAGTCCTACTTAGAAGTTCTTGGCTGTATACCTGCTCATAGGAATCTCCTGGACTCTAAAAAGAGGACTCAGAAGTGTCAAAATAGTTCCTGACATATCATCACAATTGTCTGAAATCTGATAGGAGTTTCTGGAAGCCTCATATAAGTTCATCGTAGTCAACTGAAGTTTAGTTGGAAGATCATCTCAGAACAGAGATGTGGTTGGATGACGATGGCTTGGACATTCCCATTGGCTCAAAAATTGTCTGGAAGGTGTGTACCACGAAAAAAAAAGATGTTCGTGCCATCTCCTTGGCAAATTTTTAGTTACATGCCTGTGAGAACCACTAAGACTTTTAGATCTCGAAGCTAAACATATTCTAATTTTCTATCTGGACTATTGAATTCATGTAATTGCAGAAACAAAAAAGAATTCGAATTTTCTTGTATTTTTCATCAACAACGTTTACTATCAGGTAAGGGCAGTGGGGCCGAACAACTAGACAAGCCGACTGATTTGGCATTTGACACGCAGGGCAATCTCTACGTGTGTGACATGCAAAATCATCGTATTCAAATGTTTGCGTTGCTTGACAATCGACCATGTTCTCTGGAATCGACAGGTAGTTATAAATGGCTACTCTTTTAAGCAATGCATATTTTTTTTTATTCGCATGTTTAGCAAATGCAATCATTCACTAGTAAGTACAGCAACAGCAATACTTTTTTGACACTGGACATTCTATATTATAGGATAACAATGGTCATGGCTACTTTCTCGATCGTGTAACATGAATCATTAAGACATTATTTTAACCTTATTTAGTCCTTGTAAACATCGGACACGAAACATGATACAGGATGACCCAAAAGTAGCTTTACCGAAAAAAAAATTGAATATCTCCATCAGCCTGGGTCCAAACCTGTTGACTTTTTAACTGCTGGGAAAGAAGTGTTCATAGTTCATATTCATCACTAAAGTGTCGACAAAAAACTCTTCTGACGGTATGGGTGTAGGTGTGGGTGTTGCTGTAGGTGTGGATGTGGTTGTTGGTGGAGTGTGTGGATTTGGGTGTGGGTGTAGCACTTCGTTAAAAGGACACCCAGACCCAGACCCACACCCACACCCAACCCTGAATTTCGATAAAACTGGAGCTCATCAACTCTCGTTCAATGTCAAAGTCGATGAAGTTTTCTTTCTTTATTAACAGATTCACAATCAAATTGTTTCTCCTCAACGAACATATTCTGTCACGGTCTGTGGAGCGGAAAAGGATGGGGTCACTTTTCTCGCTATACACTTCAACCCTCATTAACAGTCGTGTTTCACAAAAACGAGAGACCTCTCATGCGTAAATTCAAGTGCTCGTGCTTGTTGCTAGGTCTCGATCATATTTATTTACGAGTGAGGATCGAGAAGACATAATTTCACTTTCATGGTTCAGCTCTTGATCATACAGAGATGATCTTTTGAATCTGTAGGAAGCACTTTCTTTTCAATTGTAGTAGATGATGTTGTTAGCACTGGTTATATATTTATTAAAAAAAGAATCAAGATGTATAGCTTCAACAACAATAATCATAGTCATGAAAACATAAAAACTGTGTATATATATGCTGGTATGTGAACTTATAGAAATCACATCATATCTTTAACAATGGCACACATATAACGATGATCACGCCGTATGTAGAATAAAGAGATTAACAGACGACGGTCACGCCATATGTAGAGTAAAGAGGTTATTGGTCGATGATCATGCCATATGTAGTTAAAGCATATAATGTGATTAAGATGATGAAATGGTGATAGGAACGTCGAAGGTTACCTCGATAACAGATGTTTTACATGTTCACAATTGACTTGGTAATTGTTCGATTCTGTGCCATCGGCTAATGATGGCGTTAGCCAATTCCTGGTCGCTCATTTTAATTCCATCAATGTAGAAGACATTAGCGAAAAGACTGAGCTCTTTTGCGTTGAAATAGTCCAGTTTTATAAAGAGGAGCCGTTCTGGTTGCTGACCTTCGCAACTGAGGAAAAAGCGAGCTTTGATTACGCGCCATTCATCATAACAAAAGCCAGAGTTATAATAATGAGTCGAGAGAAAGACGACGACCATAGCAGCTTGCTGATAGATTTGTTGCAAAGTTCTCATTTCATCGAGCCCAACCAATTCATCTTGGCAGTTGGGAACGTAGAAAACTGGCGTGGGAGAATCCGATGTGGTAATTTTTTCACGAGTCAGTTGACTGATGATTTGGACTCGATCATTTGTCTCCGCATTGTGCGAGAAGGCTATTTTTATGGAAGTCTGTTCAAAAAGATGGGATCTTTGTGACATTTTGGCAGACTGTGCAAATCTAAAAAGAATAATCCATCACCAGCCATCCTATATTGCATATATCAAATAAGAAGGATTTGTATAATTACATTTGTTTTAAGAAACGACGGTGATGAGCGAGTGAGAAGGTAGAAGTATGCAAGAAAAACGAAAAGTGCAAATACCACTCGTCTAAATATAAAAAAGTGTTCTTGCCGTGTATGATGCAGAACGAGAGAGATTGAGCAATATAGATTTTTCATGTTCTGGGAATAAATCACGATGAAAGCAAGATCAAAATCGGAAGTCTTCGAAGGGAGGAGCATTTGAAATGAACTGTCGCTGGCTTCATAGACGGTGAATCGTGCATTTTTAAATCTATCGCGAGTTTTGTCCAGTGTCCGTTCACCAAATAGTAACGAGAAGACAGACAAATGTTTACTCACTGTGTAGAACTATGTAGCTAGTGATGGCACTGTGGAACATTGGCAGATTCTATCAGAAGGTGTCAGGTGAAGCTACCGGTCAAGAACGATATTCGAACGGACTTAATTGTTCATATAGAACATTACATAGCTAATCACTAAATCGATTCCCGAAAATCTGTTAACTGAAAATGATGTTTTGTGCATGTTTTTTTCTCTCAGTTGAAAGTAATGCCGACATGAGACAATAGTCTGTTTTCACCCTTGATGCCCTACCTCTTATTCACCGTTACCTTATCTATAATTTCAGTCGTGTACATTTATATCGTCAAGTAGGAGGACGACACATCTCATAAAATCAGGACGGAGAACAGAGAACGAAAAATGAAATGCGAAAGGTACCGCCGTGTCATTGCGTACTTATACATGTATGTGATATAGCCGTGCAAATCTCTAAAGAAAGATGCCCGCTATACATAGAAGAGAAATTGAACACTAAAGATGGAAACAACTATACGAGAGTGACAATTATGCTCCCTTCATCTAACTAGCAAATCTAGTGTTTGATCTGATAATTGATATATTGATTTCTTCTTAATGTCGAGTTTGTATCTGACTACGTGGAGGAAGTCGTTCAAGAATGTCACGAATGTCGATTCATTCACAATAAGCGATTTCTTCATAATCTGTCTTTGAGTATAACTATACTCCTTGTTCAAACGCATTCTATATCGGTAGTCTGACATTGCGCTATCGATGCTCGAACCCAGAAAATACTTGATCTGAAGCCTGAGTTACTGCTCGGTAATCTGAGAAACCGGCATTCTCACGGGTCAAAAGGTAGTTCACGAGGTTTATGCCGCGTTCAAGAAGAAATACGGAGATGTATTCTCGTTTCACCTTGGACCATCTTATGTAGTGGTACTTTGACGAGTCGAACATATTCGACATGGCTTAGCAGACAGACAAACCTACGATCAATCGGAGCAGACGACTAGAGGTTTTTGTCTTCTTTTTCCAGCTGGTTTGATTACTTAGCGAGGCAATGATTGAAAACGTCACGTACGACGCTTCATGCTTCGGGTGTGGGGGTGTGGATGTGAAAAGAGTAGACTCTCATCCACACCCGTACCCACACCCATACCCACACCCACACCCCACACCCATATCCACACCCACACCCACCCCACACACCCACATCCACACCCACACCCACACCCATATCCACACCCACACCCATATCCACACCCACACCCTGAGGGTGCCTCTATTGTGATTACAATATCTCAAGAATAGAACGGTTTTAGAAGCTGAAATTTTGGGCTTTTTTACATCACACTTCGGGCTACATAAAGACAAAATTTCATCGAAATCCATGAGATCGATTGAGCATGTGGCTCGTATTTTGGCAGTCTCTTTCGTGCGATGACTCATAGGGAGAAAGCCCATGTTGATCTTTCGAAAGTGTAGTCTCCTCAGAAAAATTCTGTATTAATTTTTTTTTTCAAAAATCTAGATTGTTCAGTGACTCTTGATCAAGTCGAGCTCCAACTATTGAAGTTATCACATTTGAAACATTTTGAAATTCAAGCACAAGGTAATGAGGATCTTTGTGATGGTCTACGATGGCAAATGTTAGTATCTCATATAAAAATGTTCAATTTTAAATTTAAACTCTTTTCACAATTTGGACGCGCTAAACAGCAAGAAATTCTATCATCTTTTTCTAGTCCGTTTTGGATCATAGAAAAACATTGGTTTGTTGTCTTTAGTCAATATGAAATCTATACTGTGCCTCGTTTTGCCGAAACATCTGCTGGTGAATCTTTTCTGCCACCCATGTATCGAACAGTATCAGATGAAAGACTGTTCTATGATCATATATTTACATTCGCATTAAACAAAATCGACGAAGAACAGTTATTAGCTGATCATTATCGCTTTCCTCAAGTTCGAGTGCTTTTGTTGGCCAAGTACCTGCCACTCGATAATCTACTTGCTCTAGTCGATTTATCTCAAGTACGATATTTGAAAGCACCATTGGAGAAATTCGTTCAACTAGCCGACAGCATGCCACGTCTTGTTGAACTTGCATTATCATCATTATCATTAAGTGGATTAAAGCCTAGTGTTTTTGAACAGATTCGCATTTTGCACTTTGAGAAGATTCGTTTCATAGGAAAGAAAGATGAAAGACGATTACTTCGCATGTTCACTTGGGTTGAACGTCTTTATATACATGGTGGAATGAAATCTCGCTGGTAGATGGCTCGATTTATTAACGGATTTCATTTTTTATCATATGGGTCATTTGAATTTGAGTGGTTAACGACAGTGCGAGCAAATGCAACACATCATTGGCTCTTGAAAAACACACGAGGATTAACGAATTACAATTTTGCCTACAGAATCGATGGTAGATGCATACACGTGTGGGTCGGCGACAACGACAATGAACAGGACGTAGGTTTGAAAGAAAATAGTCATCATGGATAAAATTCTTTATTGCTTTGAAAAATTCAATGAAGAATTTTGACTTATATACTTCGATCCATTTATACTCATCTCTCTAATAGTCATTGCTGAAAATATGTAGCAATGAATGTTTTCTTGAGTAATTATATCTGTACACATTATTTTGCTTATTAATTCATCGCAAACAACATATCATTGATTGACGCACCGGTCTTTTTGTATTAATTTTTGTAATCCAGATCACTTTTTTTGCAGTAAAGTACTCAATGTTGTTCATACACTTCAGTAGAAGTTTTCTCAATTGTGTTTAATCATAACGATTCAAAGTAGCTAAATTCCGTGATGATTTGTTTTTTGTGAACAACAAACTGACTTTCACATATCTGCCCAGCCAAAATTTGCAACGGCAAAATGGCATTAAAATGATCGAAAATTTACATCATTAAAATGGTAAAAAACTGTCACAAATAACCCTGTGAAATGCTTTCTTAATAACGCATTAAAATGATTAATTTAATGAAGATAAAATGGTTCAACGTTTACAAAAAATAATGTATAGAAGTCAAACCATTTTAAGCATTACAGGATGTTCCAAAGGTCACTTTACACTTGATAATGTTTTTAACATATATCTTCAATATGAAGATCTTACATCTTATTCATATATATGTCAGGCAGAATTGAGTTTTAGGCAAAATTAAACATAGTTTTCAACGAGTATCATTTCTAGTTAATTTGAAAAAATTTCAATAAATAATGGAAATTGAACTAAGTTTTGGAAGACGTAGAGCTCGCGAGTTGTACTCAATAGAAATTGAACTAAAGTTTAGGAAGATGTAGAGTTCGCGAGTTGTATTCAATAGAAATTGAAATTAGTTGGGAGGAATATATACTTCGGATGTAATAAGAAGTCGTAATGAGCATCACGTCAATAGTCCGACCAAAAAAAGGAGGAGAAGAAGGATGTATTAAAAATTGTTTAAATGTGTTCAGTCTTGCTATGAAAATATGTTTTTTCGCAAAACAAGTTTCAATTTCTACGGCTCACTCTTGTCACAATTACAGGCGATAAGAATATTTTCTTCTTCGTATAGATTTCTACGAGCAGGTTGCGGAGGTTTGATGGTCATATGATTCATTCTCATGCATATTTTTTCTAGCTTTATCCAACCAACTATCAATTGTTGGATGATCTTGTCTTTCTTGAAATTACTGTTATGACTATCTGGGAGTTCAGTATACTTCTAGAGTACTTTCACTATCTGTCTGTTTGCGTTGTCTCTTTGTATTCATCATGGCTAAAACATTTATCTAAATTACGTGAATGAAAATTAGCATTTAATTATAAAAGAAAAACTTATTTCTTGGTTTTGCGCCTAATTATAAACGAATTTTGACTAAGTTTAATTTTGCCTAAAATTCAATTTTGCCTAGAACATATATATACTTATACTCAGGAGTAAGATACATATAACCACTAATATTCTTGCTTTCGACAGCAATAATTTCTTAAATAAAAATACAAATGTGTCTTATTTACTTCTGTATAATTGTAACAAAATTTAGTTGTCATATTGATTCACTAAATTTTCTAGTTGAGAACTGTTAGGATATTATGTAGTTCGAAAGAACGAGACAAGATATTGCATAAGAACGCGCTTGATGTTCTGCTTTAATACTGAGAAGCTTCGTTGGAAATGACATCATGATATTCTAACAGTTCTCAACTAGAAAATTTAGTGAATCAATATGACAACTAAATTTTGTCACAATTATACAGAAGTAAATAAGATACATTTGTATTTTTACTCAAGAAATTATTGTTGTCGAAAGTAAGAATATTAATGGTTATATGTATCTTACTTCTGAGTACAAGTATATATATGAATAAGACTTAAGATCTTCATATCTTCATATTGAAGATATATGTTAAATACAATATCAAGTCTGAAGTGACTTTTGGGACACTCAGTATATAGATAAATAAATGTTTTAAATGAAACTATAAAAAATCTATTTTGGAATTAAGAAACTAGAATATGGTGCAAGAATTTATGCCAGTGTTGGATAGATAAGATGAGAATTCTATGAAATACTTTAAATCATAAAGAATAGTATATTCTCATGTAAATCAACGACGCTTGCAAGTTTTTCAATTTAATTGAAATAAAGTTGTCAGTTAGATCTTATGTTTATGTCACACATATGAGCGTGAAGATACTTAATGTATACCGAAGTGCCAGTAATTGACTACAGTAGTCGTCGTAAAAAGGAAAAATATCTCATAAAATATTTCATCAGCGAACGAATGATTAATCTACTTACTAAGTTTTCTAGATATTCAACTCGTCTTTTCATTTATGCACTTCTTCGTAAAACAGATATCTACATGTTTTACTCAGTGTATCCTCTATATAATGCATATTCGTATACTTTTCACTTATATCAACCTCTCACGTACGTTTTCTCGTCAACAGGCAGAATTTTATTAAAATAGACTTAAAACATGTCTCATTGTTTTATTCAAAACAGGATATGAAACAGATTTCTTTGTTTTGTAGCGAACTGCTATAGTTTATCACTGACGTTTCCGTATCTGTTAGATATTATTAGTTGTCGACATAAAATTTAATTATTATATCTACCCTAGTGAATGTACTGAGTTAAGGGTACCCAAAAAAGTACCCTGCTACTAGTATGTCTCAGGATCTGTTGGGTACTAAAGTACCTTATCGGGTACTCTGGTACAAAATATTCAGTAAATGGGTACTTGAAGATACTGATCAGATACTCCATTGGGTACTATTGTACAGTATTTCTAGGTACCCTGTTACCAAAATTTNCGGAGAAAAAATTTTTTTTTTGAAAAAATCCCTGTACCCCCCCTCAGGGATGGTCTTCTCAATAATGACAATTTTTTCTATAACTCAGCCATTTCTTGACGGATCCTGCTCATCTTCGAACTCGACCGAGATATTCTAAAGACTGAACTGTGTAGAAAATTTCATCGTGATCGGACTCTCCTTTCGAAAGTTATCGTGTAAATGGCCGGACGGACATACTGACCGATTCTAGAGTGTACTCACTTTTTGAGTACACAAAAATAGAACAATAGGAGACTCGCAGCTTCCTATAGATAAGTATCGACTAGTATTAAAACTTACTTTTTTGTGAAAAATTTTTAAAACTGATATTATTATTCTTTTTTCAATAGTTAACAGTCAAGTATCTTTATTTTCCTGATTAACTCGATCGGGAATAAATGATTCATTTTGTTTTTTATTTTGACAGTTGCAAATATGCTCTAGATAATGAACTTTTCACATTAATTGCATTGAACATATTTTTGGTTAATCTCGTTTTCATAAATATAATTAAGTCTATTCCATTAGGATGAAGATTTTGGTGTGACTGTTGATTTGACAATTTTCAGTGATGAATTTCGTTTATCAATTAACTTTTCAATGTTCTCCTTTGTTAACATAATGCTTTTTTCAACTAACGGACGCGAAAGCTTTTAATTTATTAAGCATCGAGTGATGCAAAAAATGAAGAACAAGAAATTAATGTACGTTGACTTTTTTCTTTGAGATTAGTTGATAATTAGCTAAAACATTAATCGTTTACTCGTTCATGTTTGTACATAGGATAGCCGATATTGATGAAAAAAAAACTCGAGTTAGTTTCGGTCAATAAAAACGTGGACGTGTAGCTTCCTATCCTTTATTCGAAAACTCAATGTTACAACTATCAGAGATCTCAACGAGATGGTCTGAGACGAAGACTGTCATTCCAATGCATTGAGATCTCCAGTCTAAATTTTGTTGGATATCACTTTAAAGTGACTATGATATTATTTGTTCTGATTAAGAAATATGTGTGAAAAACTACTGATATTAGGTTATTGTAAAAAAGTTGTTTAACTATTTTTTTGAATAGAATAATTCGAATATCTATATGTAATCTGTAATTATAGCAATCAACTTTTACATGAATGAAACTAATCTTCTAAACTTCGAAAGATAAAAATCTTCATATATGCAAATAGAAAACTCTTATTGAGTTTTCTACTATATTACTATATAAAAAAAAGAATCCAAAAAAATAATTAAACATAAATACCGAAGACAAAAAAAAAAAAATAAAAATAACTCATAATATAAACACAGTCAGAACTGTCTTTTGCTCTATTTTCGTGACCAGTATTTTGGTGTTGGCATATCTGTTGTTGTCTCTAATTGAGGTTTTCCATGTCCTGTTCGTTCATCGTAATCAAGTTTATTACGTGCAAATATTAATCGTATATCGGAATGCATATAGAGTTTTCCAGTTTGTGATGTTACAAACCTACAATATAACCAAAAAAAAAAACAAACAAACAAACACAATAAGCACTTTTAATAAAACATTCGTACCGAATATGAGCTAAATATCTGAGATTTTCTTTAGGTGTTATTATTGTTGACTTTTTATATGTTTCATCATCATGAATATCCTCAGGCATATGAACAACTTTTTGACGAATAAATGTTCGATGATCAGGTGGCATATCACTTAAATCATATAATATTAAAAATAAATGAATTGCTGTTCCATTGGGATTTAATAAAGCTAATGTTATTGTTCCTTTTGTTGGTGTATGATAACCACGTTTTGGTAAACATTGCAAATTAATATAACCCTTTGAAAATAATATATTTATATATGAATTAATTAATCAATTATTTCAATTTCAATAAAACTAAAGATGTAATAACATACAAAATTATTCGACTAGTTTTATTTTTAATTTTTTTTTTTTCTTAGTGATCATTTTCATCTTGCAAAATTCTTGTTGAAAATAAAATTCTCTATACAATTAGAAGCATTAATGATAATAGAAAAAAAAAAAAATTGAAAATAATCCGTTAGATAAGACTAAAATTTTTGAACATAATTCTTTTTTTACAGTTTATCTGATTCTTATTTACATCCGACGTAAGGTGATGCTGCTTGATGATCCGATACATTGAACCAAAACGTTGTCACAGGTAAAATAACTTGTTTAGGTATAAAAACTCCACTTACACCTAATTTTATTGTAAAACCATCGAGTACACCACAAGGAAGAATTTTTCCATGTAATAATGATTCCTTAAAATAGAAAAATAAAATATATATTTATAAAATTAATTTTATAACATAATTGTCCTACTGTAAAATTGCCACGTAAACAATTGAATGTTTCAATGTGAGACTTTTCATGTGTTCCCTTAACATTATTTTGAGTTGTTGATGAAACAACTTCGTGTTCATCATCAACTTCAAATACACTACATGATAGAACACTAAAAAGAGAACAAATATATGTTTATACTAAAGTCAAAATAGAAGAAAAAAGGTCGTCTTCTACCTTCTCAATAAACGTGGATTAACAGTTCGTTTAGCTAATGGAGAATGGCAATAGCCTGCTGTTCTTGATGAAACTATAGTTGAATTCTATGATAAAAAAAAAATACATTAAAATATTAATTTTAATTGTTTTATCTTTATACTTGATGTGTCACCGGAGATTGAATATTGTTAAAATTAAGTCTATTTTGATAAAGTACTCGAATAGCTTTTAGTTTCGATCGTTTAAAATCAATATCTTCAGGTTGAGAAATTTTTAATTCATTCTAAAATTAAGAAAAAAAGTTTTTCTTTTTTTTTTTTTTTTTTCAATTTATTTTTTTTAATATTTACATTTTTAATATCAGTTTCATGATATTTCATCTGTATTTTAACTTTATCAGTTGGACTCATTATAAAATGTTCTAATGAATTTTTCTGATTAACTATTATTTGTTCATTAATATCTAATTTATCAATTGATGTTGTAATTAAATTACTTTCTGAAAATATCCCATTTGCAACTGTAACAGAACTTGATTCGCATGTTTGAAAACAATTCTTTTCTGGTACAGTTATTGAAAAATAGCAAAGAGAATCATTTTGAGAACTATTATCTGTTTCATCATCATTTGATACAACTTTCGGTTGTTGAATAGCTATTGGTAAACTTCTCGGTCGTTTCTTTTGTCGTTGTAAAGATAATACATCAGTTGATATTGTTGTTGCTTGTGAATCATCATCAGTATCACTAGATAATTGATTATGAATAAGACATTTTCGAGAATATGAAGGTGAATCAATAGTTGAAATCAAATTCCGAGAAAAAAATGAACTTGATGAAGAACTTAATGATGATGCTGATGAAGAAATTATATCATGATTAAATGATGATTGTTTTGGTAGATGTACATCAATAAATTGTTCAACAAGATTACAATTGGATATTAAAATCGAATCTGGTGATGAAGGAAAAAAATGATCAGTATTAGAATTTAATGATGATTCATAACCAGATGATGATGTTGATAAAAGAGTTTTCATATCAGGTTTATCAACATGATCAGAATCATTATTAATCAAACTTAAATCAGATGATGAAATTGAACATGATGATGAATAGGAAGTTGTTGATGAATTAGGATAGAATTCAGTAATAGATAAGGACTTTGTAGGAGATATCGATAGATGATGTTCATCTGAAAAAAGAAACAGATATTGCATGATATTAATTCAATATTTTAAAATCATGAATTTTAACTGTTATTTTCTTTCATCTAAAATTATATTCATTTCCCATGTTTTTTTTTTCTTTAATGAATCATCAACTTTTTTTACTATTATAAAAAATATCGGTATTTATTAAATATTGAGATCATATTCGAAATTAGCCTATTTTGAGGATATATTTCAAAAGCTTTTTAAAATACCTGAAGATTGCCAAAGAGAATCTGTTGATCCTTCATTAACATTAGTCACTATGTTTTGTTCAATTTGTTGTAATGATTGATTAATTGGTATTGATGTTAAATTTTCAGTTGATAACGATGAAATATTTATGGGTGATGGTTTTAATCGCTGATATCGATTAGATATTGTATGCATATCATTTATAGAATTTTCTTGTCTTTTTGAAAACATTTTTTCTTTTGATAATTCAATTTGTGAAAAATTACATTCGTCTGACAATGGATGTTCGATAAATGATGATGGTAAAGATTCAAACATATGATCAGTTGGTGATAATGTATCAAAAATCATTGTCATTGATACTTATAATAAATACTTGATTTATCATAGAAAACATTCTATCATGCCAATGAATAATCTAAATATGTAAAAAAAAATTTTTTTTAGTCATGTCTTACTAAACAAACATGAGTATCCTTTCTGAACTATTGACGAAAGAAATCTATCAAGTAACTAATCGTGTTTGAGCTGGACTAAGCGTTTCGTGTGGACACTAATGAGCTATGAATACCATGAAAAGAGTTTAAGCCGTTAGTTTATGGCTACAAAGATATTGCAATTATACAGTATTATTTAAGTCAATGTCACGGTCACCCTTCAAGAACATTAGAAAAACTAATTTTTATCCTTGTTTCTATCTTAAAATATGACTATGATAAAAATGTACCATTTACATCACTTGTATATACTAACAGATTCCATATTCTTATTTGAGGATAATAGAGCACATGAAAACTTTCACAATTATCTAACTATTCTCGTTATAATTTGTCTCTGTAAAAAATTTCAAATACAATATCTCGGCAGTAATAAGTTAAGGACTCGAACTCTAATCAAAATATTCAAAGCGCATTTGAATCTATCTAGTGCACATAGTTTGAACTCAAATACGATTATTATGATTACGGATGAATTCCTTTTTCTCAGATTTCCAAGAACCACTCGATCTCAACACAATTAGCATTAGTTGCTAAATGTAACATGACTCGAGTTTATCATTCTCATGTTCAAACTGTAGTTCTATCGCTTCCTATCTTAAGTAATTGAAATTCAAAATCTGTATTCGGTTACTGATAAAAAAAAGGGAGGTCTATTGAAAAGTGTCATTTTTCTTTTTCATCTGATAGGAAATACTTCTAGTGAACATTAACAGCTTTTGTTTCTATTTTAAAGTATTTAATCGATTAGAGGAGAGAAAAAAAGAAAGCTAACGATCAAATCGTTCTTTTTCATACTCGCTGAAAGAAAGAAAAATCAAAAGATCCTCACGATTACAATTGAGCTATGGAGCATTGAAATAAAAATGACTCAATGTTCTTTTTTTTTTGTGTTCTTTTATAGTCATATGTTATTGCTATATAGAGTTTGATAGACCATTTTTCTTCTTTCTTTTGCTTCTTTCCTGTCTTCAATTCACTACGACATCGACGTCGTTACTAAAATATGTTATAGAAATAGCAATAATAATCATAACAACAACAACAACAACAACTGACATTCATTGATTCTTCTTATTCTTTTTACCTGTTAAAAGTTGGTTTTATCATTTAAGAGCATTCAATGACCCATTATTGTCTAGGGTCGACAAGAGTAATGCTAGAAAAACAAAATATATTATAATGAACAATAAAAAAAAGAAAGCGACGCGAATGTATGAATAAATATAAGACGTCATCTCACAACTATTAAGTGATAAACTGAAAGAGAGAGAGAGAAAGAGAAAGAGAAAAAGAAAAAATACAATAGAGAGTTGCGCCTATGTTCCATGCGGTTGCTGTAACAAGCGTATTACTCTTCACTTGACGCCTTGCTAACAACATCATAAGATTTCTCTCTTTTGTCTCTCGTTCTTTCTCTCTTTTGTACATGTAAACATGACGATGACGACGACGACAACGAAGCCGTATTGTCCTTAGCTGACCTAACGATCTTTTCACTTTTCATATACCTGCACATGTATACCAATTAGTAAGATATTATCTATCTATCTCTCTTCTACGTTTTCATCGTTCAGATAGAATGACAACAAATTTATCATATTCTTTCTTTTCTTTTATTTGTTTTTGTTTTCTCACATGGTCACAGCTTGGCCTTGAGAGACGATGATTATGACGTTTATTTTTGTGGTTACCCATGCTGATAATAGCAATATGAGATACATAGATGAGTACTGGCAGGATATTATATATATATAATCAAGGTCAATGAAAAAGTCAAGAGAGAAAAAGATAAACGCAGTCAATTTTTTGATGTAAATTTAATTGCGCATTGATTTACAATCATCTCAAGGTTTTTCGCTTTGTTTGATGTCAATAATAATCAAGACATGTGAAATTAAAAAAGAAAGCGAAAAAAAATTGACAGAAGAAAAGTGAGAGGAATCATTTAAACTTAAAAGTTGCACTCAAACTGTCAATCACCAACTGTATTTGCAAGAGGTAGGCGGTATATATGTATGCATTTACTTATGCTAAAAAAAAACGAAGAAAGTAAAGAATGAAAAAGTACCACTAATATGTGTATGACTTTGAAAAAGAAGCATAATGTATTTTTTATTAAACATATCGACAAAATTGATTCTGTTTTCCGTTTATAAATGTTCAAGTGACGGATACTAAGAAAAAGAATTTTCTTAGATAGATTGTATTCTTCTTTCGTTCTCAACAACAATAAATATAATTTATATACTGATCATTTAACGAATGTGATTAATTCTTTTGCGTTTAATATAAAATATTTACCGTTTCCGATTGAACCAATGAATTGTATAAAATGATGAATATTGAAAAATAATTATTTAAATTTGTTTTTAAACTATTTAATTGATTGTGTCTGAAATATAGACGTATATGTAAACTTATGTCAAATAACAATTTCTATTGACATATTTATATATAAATCACACAACACTGGCTATTTGTGGTTTTTGCATTTCTTTTCTTTCTATCATTTTTCCTACATGAGCTACTTGCACTATACATTCTATAGATGATTACCATATGAGAAATCATATGAGTTTTTTTCTTCATTCTATAATAATGATGCTGTTCGAAAGTACTAATGTTTCAATAGATCATCTTAAAATAAACGATAGAAATATTCTACATGAATTTTCTAATTAATATTATTTAGTTATTAACTAGTTTGTCTGACTTATTCTCTATCTAAATAAAATATGCGAATAAAAACCTTTTCTTTTCTGTTTTTTTTCTTTTTTAATTTAACTACATATAAGAGAGCATGCGTTCTCTTCATGGACTAAAAGACGAAAATGTGTGCAACAAGAGGGCAAAAGAAAGAAATATTGAATGGGTAACTATGAAATGTATTTCAAGGACATTTATTCTATTCATAAAATTTTGTCAAGAATATGATATAGTAATGAAATTTTAAATATAGAAATACTTAACTTCTTAAATAACATGATGGTCATTTTTGCAAAGTTAATATTCATAAACAGAGAAAAAAAAGAAGATTGGAATTAGTGACTTCTTTCGTATGCAAAGAAGATTATATGGTTGAGTTATGATTTAAAGATTATACGTCATTAGAAATAACAAAATGAATATATGATTTTTTTACGCTTCACACAATGTGTATTGAGTGAGAGAAAAAAAAAGGCGTAAATCTCACGAGATAATTCTTTTCGAACCATAAAAAAAAAAAAAACAATTTTTCATCTTTTCTCGTAACTTAATTATGTATATTAGACATCAAAATAATAAGAAATTTTCATAAGGAACAGAATAAGAAGCCTTATATTTCGTAGGATTAACAGAAAAAGAATTGGGTTATTCTTTTGTAAATGTTATTTAGAGTTTTTTCTTTTTTTGTTACTATTGAAATAAATCAGTATTTATGTACTCAAAATAAACTTGCTGTTTTGATGATAATAGTTTGTTTCATAAAATATTTTATCGTTCTCTGTTTTTAGACTAAGATAAACGTGATTTTTTTTTGTGTTATTTCGAAGAAAAAAAATGTCATTTGAATAAAGATCAACAGGTTCGAATTTGATAGAAAAAAAAAAAATTTTTTTATTTCATTTTTAAGAGTTAAATTTATAATTTTCTTACCAAGGACTTGATAAATGTGCTTTTAAAAAAAATATAAATTATTTCGATACTATTGAAGATAATTTTTAATAAACAGAATGTAAATACATACTTTTGTACTTAATTCTATCCTTTGCGTAGGAGAAATTATTCAATAATCAATAGAGATGAACATCATTAATTATCAGGAATTGTTTTTAAGAAGAATGAAATTATGAAGAAATAAGAGAAACTTTAAATTTAGTTGCTTATGAGTTAACAATAAAAATACAATAGTCGACTGTCAATGATATAACTAATATGTGTCAAGAGATATCATCATATGATGATTTCTTCGTAGTTATCGAATCAGATGTAGAGAGAAAGAGTAAAGAAGACCGTCACGTACATTTGATGGATGATGATGTCATATCGAAGATGATGGTGTCAAGTTGGAACTGCAAGGATATTTATGATATTTGAACGTATACTATGATAAATAATAATATTTATTACGTGATGATCGACTACTCAAGGGGGAAATACAGACAAAATTACAAAGAACTATATTTTATGACTTGTATTTCTATAAAACTTGTAAGAAAAAAAAAAGAAATTTAAAAAAAAATATTTTTATTATATCAACATTTTAGTTTGTATTTTTCATTGACATTAGATATGTCATATTTCTATTACAAAGATAATATTCGAACTATAAAAACTAAATAAAACACATGACTTCTATAATAAACTAAAACTGCGGTTTTTATACGAATCATAGTCCCATGGGTCATCTAGAATACTCAAAGAAAAACATCTGATGGTAATTGTCAATGAATCAGCTGATGAAATCATCAACTTTGTGGTTGGATAGAAAGAAAAAAAAAATGACAAATTAGATCGACAATTAGCGACATCGATATAACGTTTGTTTATTTCAAAATATTTCATAAAAATTATGATGCTGTTTCAAAAAATATATGCTGTTTTTTTATTTAATTCGAGTTAGTGAACGTAAAGCATATTCTCAACAGCAACTTACATGTCTTCTTTCGCTTCATTCTACTGATACCAAATATGCAAAGTGAAACATCTCTAACAAACTATAAGGTTTTTTCCAAAGACAATCGATCACCAGAGAAACAATCTGTTTTTACTTATTTCTGTATGTAGAACAGAAATTTTTTCTTTTACTGGCGCTTTATTTTACGTTTTTTTAATTTAATAATACTATTACTGTTCTAACCATTGATTTAACTGGCAAATAAGTCTATTATACAACATATCTAGAGTAGGTCTCAACGCACTATTATTTATTTCGATAAGCTTAGAAACACTTATATTGATTATTTCCCAAAAGTTATAACTTGATCAATTCATCCTTTATTATGTTGATCATATGACAATCGTGGCAAATCAATGCAGTATTTCTTGTTTCTTGGGAAAATATAATCATTAGAATGTGGATGTTTACATCTTTCCAAGAGTTGAAGAAAATCACAATATAGAAACGAGTTATTCAAGATTTTATTTCATCACATGTTCATTAGCTATTAATACCTTTCAATCCAGGATAGTTTGATGTATTTTAATGAGCAAGTAATTTCGTTTTGTCATGATAAAGCTTTATGACATATATGATAGATATCAATCTCTTCTTTCGAATATTACCGATAAATGTTTTCAAATATTTATTAACCTAACATTGATAATTGATAGTTTGCTTCTGTTCAACATGATGAACACTAGCAGAGAACCAATCATTTGTGAAAAAGAATACAAAGAATTTAAAGATACAGTGGAGTGCAAAAAAAAATTGCCGCTGCATATACGCATTTTCTCGAACCATATCTGTGAAGTGCATGAATGGATTCTTCTGAAATTTTCATTGACAGTCAAGGAGATGCTATAGATTGTGGTGAGAGCGAGACACCTCCAAAAGTATGGTTCCATAGGCTGCGAGACATCGTGATTTGAGTATCCATCGCTTTTCTGCCATATCAAGTGGTCATCTTACACTGACGGAACTACAGCAATCATTGAGCTACGAAAATCGTCTTCTTATGGAAGGTCTCGGTTCATAGCATCTAAAAAAATGCAAATGAGCTGCAACTGCAAGGCATCTTAGAAACAAATGGAATATCATGGTCTGTCGAACTTCCAGCACAAATGGCGCTCCTACCAAATTTTTACGTTATCTTGATAATGGCTTGTCCAATCGACTTGAAATTTTCAGCATAGAGAGACCACAGCGCGTAGATGAAATTTTGTTCCAAGTGAATAATTCTCAAGATTTATCTTCAAGATAAAATAGAAGTCACAAGTTGAGAAGGTGGTATTGAGTTTGTTTCCAGTCTTAGAAATCCTATCGAGCTCAAACTTCGACTACAAAACCTTGCTCCAATACGAGATTCATGGCTTCTTTCACTTTTCTTCGAAACACACATTTTAGGTTAGGACACAATCCAGGTACATAGACAAAACGATTCTAAGTTATTTGAGCGCATCAATGAAAGCATAGTGTTTACTTCTTTTTTGATTTGGGAGAAAGCGGACTAGTTATGGATTATTATATTTGGATATTCTATTGTATGTGCGACTTATATATAAAAACAACTTACGATATTCATCGTGTTCAGTGGGATAATTTTATCAAATACTAACGGCAATTTTTTTTGCATACCACTGTATATAATATTTCTACCTTTCATAATCATTATCAAATATAGATGGGACAAAATTAATATCAAATGAACACTGAACATAACCAGTACCAAGTTGAATGAAGATGAACAAGATCAAGTTCAGATCTTAAGTTACTATTAAATAAATAAATAAAATCGATGTGTAAGTACCATCGACAATATCAATAGCACAATTTGAGTTACATAAATAATCAATCAATAATAACAGAAAATGGTGGCTAAATATAGATTTAAATTAGTATTGTTCATGCTCATTTAACATCAATTGTGTTTCATCTATATTTGATAATGGCTATGAAAGGTCGAAATATCACATGTCTTTTAAAGTCTATACATTCTTTTGCACTCTCAAGGTAACTACAATATACTTGTTCAATTTAAAATTTAAATTCAGCCATCATTTTCTATTTTTATAAGGTTTTCGTGTGTCAAACAAGATCTTAACGAAAGCAAAAATCGAACATATTCTTGAAACTTGATGAATCGTAATAGTTGGAATCTGTAAGAAGAAAGTCGGCTAGATCATGAGTTAAGGTTTATTATACACATATTAATTTTGTTCTTTATTACCCTCGATCTGCTCAATGGTTGCCGCATAGTCAATTGTCTGTCTTTGTATTCAAAAAAAAGATTCGATTTTTGTAGGCTCGACATTTCCAAGACGGAGCAAGGAAAAGGAATTTTCTTTTTACTAATCGATAGCCCTTGAATTTTACTGCAAAAAAAGGGTTTGTATTGTTGTCCAATTCGATGCTTCATTTATTTTCTGAAATTGTTCTATAAATTTTCACTTCAGAGACCCAGGAGCGCGTATTGACGATTAGTCAAACTACTCATAACACGTTTTGACCTAATTTAAGAATCTCAACATATGGTTTCGACTTAATTTGCTTTTTGAATGCTCTAAAAAAATCATTCGCAATGTAAAAGAATGAGGCAGTCTGAAGAATATTAAGGAAATATTTTATAAATGAGATAGACTTGTTTCAAGTTGTACGGTGAAGTTTTTTTTTTGTTTTTGTAATGTTGTCTTCAGAATTAAGCAACAAGTATTATAACATGTGTGGTAGAATTATAGCACAAACGTTTTAAGTGTCAAATAACAGAATACTATAAGAAGATGACGTAGATACAGTGACATTTAAAAAAAACGAAGAAGTTTGAACCTAAGTACAGAAGGATTTTATTTTAATAAATTAAAGAAACAGAAGTGAAAATAAAAACGACTGTTTATTTTATTCAATGATTTTTATTAAGCATCAATAACTGCCGCACTAACTTCTTCGACTTGATCTGCTGACACATTGGATAATGCCATTCGATTAACTAATGTATTAAATTGTTTTACATCAGAATCCGTTACTGTGTCATTATTATCAACTATTTTCTTATTAGTTGTTAAATCATTATCAATATTTTTATCAAGTTTTTTTATATTTTTCTTAAATAATTTTTTTCGAATTAATTTAAATATATTTTTATTTGATTTATGCATGACCATCATATCCCATAATATATATAAAGGAAATCCTAACAATAAACATGCAGCAAACCAATATTTACCATATAATTCTTGTTTTTCATCTTCTTCTGAATCGACAGTGTAACGATTATTTCTCCATAATATACCAAAATCATTATTACGTATGCCTAATTGAATCATAATATCTTTTACTTGTATAGCCGTAAAATGTCGAATATAAAATGGTTGTGAAACAACATGATGATGTATAATGTGTGTTGCACCAAAATTAAAACAAAATAATTGAAATGGTAAAACATACCACGAGTCTAATATTTGATTTTGATAAAACACAGTATTCAAAGGTATATCACCATAATAATGACAAGCATTAGACATTAATACTAAACAACCTTGTCGGAATAAATTTGAAAAACATAAACAAATTGCTAAATTATGAATAATTGGATAAAATGTATGAATACCATATATTGTATTGATATCATAATTTAAACAGAAATAAATAAAAAATAATAAGTTATAAACAAAAAAAATTCGAGTAATAAAGAAAAATATAAGTGCCATTGGTGCATTGTGTAGTTTCATAGTAGTTAAATTAAGAAATTTCGCATCTCTACTAATATCATCACTAACCAAGAGTCCACCAAATGGATGTATACTAACAGCCATTCTTTTGTAATCTGGTGGTAAACCTAATCCAATTAATCTTTCTTCTGCATCGTTTATTTGACCAGATAAAAGATGATGTTTTAAATGTAATTGACGACGATACCAAGGTGAACCATGTAATTTAGCAATCCAAATAAATGTAAACATTAAATTTTGAATCCATCTATATTGTTTAAAATATAAATTATGAATAATATCATGTTCTAATTCATGTAACAAGGATAATGGTAATGCTATTAAGACAATTGTCAAGATTGCAGAAATATAGCCCGATATATAAAGATATGAAAATAATGACATTAATAATAATGAACTCGTGAATATTATTGCGCAGATCCAATCTTGATGGTATAAAAAAGGATATGCTTGTCTTAATGAGGCATCACTTTGTTTAATTGCCCGACAAATCTCACGAGCAGACAATATAGCATGAGTGTTACGAACAGGAACTTGAATAGTGGCTGTCATTTGGCAAACGTCTTTGTTCTTACTGATAGTATATCTAAAACTATTGAACTGAAAGTAAAAAGTATGAGAATTATCAGAGAAGATAAACTTTGTTCGGCTGATAAATTCGAATAATTTATGCGTGATACTTTTAGAATAGCTTCTTTTTTTTTTTTATTATAGTTGATAGAAAAATCTATTCAAAGCATTGTGTATGTAGGATATACAAATGACATACTCTTACTTTGTAATTTCTATTTGTAAAACAAAAAAGACATGTAACCGCTCTTTCTACAGAAAATGTTCAAATTACTCACCGTTTGAAAATTGCATTCTTATATTTGGGTTTTATGTAGCATCTATTCTAAGAGCAGAATTAGGATTTGCAGCAAACCTCTGAGATTCAAAGGAAATCATTTATTTGTTCGCTTACTAGTCGTCTCTTTCTCTAATCATATCTCGATATCATGATATTGCTCCACTTACATCATAAAGAGTGATATACAACGTTATGGACTATGAGTCTTCTAGTTCGTTGGATAGGTGCCCACCGATTTCTTTTTATCTCTCCTTGTTTTCATGTGCCTGTTCGAACGACGAAAAAAAAAAAACTTAACTTTTTAACTATGTTTTTATGAGATGCATCAGTATTATGAAATCTCTTAAGAGAAAGATAATTTGAAGAAAAAAAAATTGTTTTCAATGAGATATCCATTGACGAAGATAAAAAACAGCATTTCTTCAAGTGTTAGAAGAAGTATATGCGTGTATCATCGTTTGCTCGCACATTGTTGCATTCGATACACAATCTAAGGTGTGCACGTCAAACAACGGATGTAAAAAGAGTATTTTCATCGTATATCGTCCCATATATGTGAGGACAGAACAAAATAAATGGTGTCAATATCATAAATCTGTGCATGCTCTTGATGAATCGAAATGAATTGATGACATGTTTCGTTTTGTAACTAGTATATAAGTTGTGCTATAACCCTTTGAGGACGGTGGGATATACGTTGTTCCACCTGTTTTTTTAGTTGAGAAAAAATGTTGTCTTGAAATAAAACTGTTAGATCTCCAAGGACATATAGATCACTTGCGATCCCATCTATCATATCATGCTTATATTTTCTGACTTTCTTTCATATACAGTAAAACTTCTTGATGTGAGCATCTCGAAACACTGAGCAGTAGATAATCTACTCAGAATCTTACTCTGAGCAGTGATTGCTTATCGCTAGCCCCATGAGCACTAATAATCTCTGTAATTCGAGCAATAAATGTTCTATTACTCATCCACAAAACAAGAAAAAAACGATGTTATGAGTATTGCGTTGTGATTAACAATTGTGAAGCATTAATAAATTGCAAAAAAGAAGAAAAAAATCACCCTGTGCAGGCGAAAAAGTGATTGTAACTAAATATTTTTAGATTCCAAAAAAATAAACTGAAAACCTCAATATAAAGCACCTCAGTAAAGTGAGCGATTTTGACTAGATTCAATAATGCCAACATTGGAGAGATTTTATTGTAGATTCTTTTAAAATTTTTTCTATTCTTACTGTTACTATACAGTGAAGTGATGGTTTCTCTCTTGTCTTCTGATCTATCGTCTTTTAGGAATATTCTCACACTTTAGTGCGCATATACATCCTAGAAAAAAGCTCTTTCTCTCCGACCTATTGAGTAACACTACAAATGAATTGGTTAACAGGCTGTTTCACGACTGAGTTATCTCTCTTTTTATTTCTGCTAAATGTTCTTCGTCACCAACTCGAAGCTTCTCTGAGAATGTACCATAGTCAGTCATACAAATATACATAAAGTAAAACTAATAAAATATTCAGAAAATACCCAAAAATAAAAGAGATAGCCTAGTCATAAAGTAGTTTATCATCCAATCCATTTGTAGTGTTGATCAATTGTATTGAGTGTCGTACATTCTCCATTGAAACAAGTCATAATCAATCATATACTGCACTTGAAACCAAAGTATGAATTTACATTGTTCTTAATTTTGAAAAACATTTATTATTTTTCGTTGGCTACGATATAGATGTGATGACGAGTTCTGTAATTCATATACTAGTGATGACACCAATGAGAGTGATTGCGAGTACGAGCTTGTCTAGGAAATCTGAAATCAGGTAGAGTATTCTCGCTTTTCTATGTTCTGCTCAAGACTTGTTTTTTTTTCACAAGAGAAACTTGAAAGATCAACGCAAGATTAAAGCGCGCTGACTCCACACGTTTGCTGATTTTGGATATTATACGCTGCAGTGTCTCTATATTAGTGTAATGTTAACGGTTTTTGAATCATTTTTGAGCTGTTAAGGAGATGACGTCTGAACAAAGGGTGCGTCGTTTGTTTCATCCAATTCCAAATAGACTGTCCATCATTCTTGAGTAGATTGAAGATGAAAAAACGTATTTTTCAGCATTCACGAAGGATATCTTACGTCATGATTTGCATTTTCTCTTCAATGGATTCACATCTTTGCTGGATCTACCTCTCTCGTCTATGGAACAAAGTAAAACTGGATGAACTCAATAGGGTTGGTGGGTGTGGGTATGAGGTGTTGATATTCTCTTCTCTGACATCCACACTTTCATATACGCATCTGCTCATACCCACATCCTCATCTTGTCCTGGTATTATTGTAACATTGATAAGAAACGCAGCGTACAATTATTTCGATAATCTGAGATATGATTTATGCCTTTCAAGTAGTTTCTAGAAGGTTTGAAATTCATATATAGGGTGTCCAGTAAGTAACTTCACAAAGAAAAAGTTGAATATCTTCATTACAACTCGACCAAACGGGCTCATTTTTTTACCAAGGATAGAGCCATGTTCACATTTCAAATCCACACGGACAAGGTTAGTGGGAACCTTTGCAAAGTATCACTATTGACCTCAACAAGAAAATTTTACTTGTTCAAAGATAGAAAAAGAAAACAATATACTTACCATAGGTTCTCACTAATCTCGTCCGTATGGATTTGGAGTGTTAACATATCTCTATCTTCGGTAAAAAAATCAGCTCGTTTGGTCGAGCCAAAANCAAACTCTCCAAAAGATATTTTGATGTACTTCATTTTTTTTGACTGAACTCTTAAGGAAACTACGGATAAATTTTGCAACGAAAATAAAAACTGTCCGAACAAATTGAAATACATATAGATCGATTTGGGTTTTTATGCTGATGACAAATATCTGATTTTTTTTTCACTAGGAAACCAATTAATCTTACAAAAATTAGTGGAAATCAATCAAAGAATAGTTACTTTTATCTATCCAAACAAATTATGCATGTTCTTGCAGTCCGTCATGTACTTTACTAGGACTGAAATTTTGGCGATATATTCATTTCTATATTCTGAGATGTTTAGCATATCTTTCATACATTTTCTTAGACTTATTGAAGTGAAATTTGTAAAAGAATTTTGTTTTTCTTTGATAATGTGAAATACCTGGTTGAATTTGAAAAATAATTTGTGATTGATTTTGATTAGTTTGTTGAGATTCATGAAAAGCATCTTTATAAATATCTAATACTAAAGTAATATTATCATCAATAGAAATATTAATTAATGTTCTTTCATGTAAAGAATTTTGTTTTAAAACATAAATAATTGGTTGAAATGTTTGTTCATATTCAACTAGAGATGATATATTAAATAATTTTGGAGAAGTATAAAATAATCTCCATGATAGAGGAGTATCAGATAAATGATATTTATTAATAAGTTCTTTTGATAATAATTTTGATTTATTTAATATTGAATATAAATATGATTGATCAATTTTTAATGATAATTCAATATTTTGTTTTTGTTCTATTGTTAACTAAAAGAAACAAAGAAAAAGAAAATTTTCAATGAAAACTTGTTTTATATACAAAAATTAACTTGACTAAAATCAAATAAATAAATAAAATCTTTAAGAATTTCATCCGAATTTTCTTGTTCATTAGTCCATTTAATAATTGTAATTATTAAAGAATATTCATTTAATGATTGAACATTATTATAATTATATATATAAGGACATCGTCGTTCATATAATATATTTAATAATGTTTCTTTTGATAAAGATTTAAATTGATTTTCATTGATTAATTTTATTTGAAATTCTTCTTTAAATTTTTTCGCATTATTTAACATCTTTATCCAAACAAATTCTTTTTTTTCAATATTATTATTATTTGTATTTGGTTGATTATTATCTATTAAAATAAATATATAAACTTAAATATTCAAAGAATAACATGAGCATATTGTTTTTTATCAATTAAGTAACAGCTGATGACACGAAAAATATAGTTATCGAATTTGTTAGTCTATGTTTTCTTCAATTTGGGGTGAGTGTGGGTGTCGATGAGAGAACTGCTCAATACACCCACACACACACACCCGACCTCAGCCTTTGGAGATTTTTCAAGTGATAATTGTGAAAACTACTAACGATTTCAAAATATAATGTGTTCCACTATTTGCTGAATAATTTTTAATAGGAACACCATAGAGACCTAAAATTTTCATCATTGAAGAGAGAAATACCTGGGATCATCGACATCTAATTAATCAACCATAGGCTAATCACATGAGTTCTTGGTAAAGATTTTCGTTTCGATTGAGACTTTTAATGGAACTAATCGATAGAAAAAGTTTTTCTCTCTCGATGATCCATGCAAGTCCAACATTTCAAGCTTGTTCCATTCGAGACTTATAACATAGTGAGTGTAAATAGTGACATTTATTTTTAGATTCGAAATGATCTGACACTGTTACCTCGATATTTGTCATATATCAACTCTTTCGTTACATGGAGGTCGATGATTATGGAATGTTAGAAATATTGAGATAAATTTGTTAGATCATTTTGAACCTAAAAAGTCAAAGATCACCCTTGCTTAGCTGTTTTTCTGGATGATCACAAATCAATTGATTCAAATCGGGGATTCTTAGAAAAAGTCTTGTAATTTTCGAATAATGAAACAAGCTACGAGTGCTGGTCTTCCGTAGATCAAAAGACAAGAATTTTTTCTATCGATTAGTTCTATTAAAAGTCTACAGTGAAACGAAAATCTCTACGAAAACTTTCAAATTTAGGAGAAAATATTCTATAATATGTGGTGCATCATTCTTGCGGAGAGAGTTTTCTCATACGAAGGTTTTAGTTCAATGAGTTGAATGGATTATTCTCAGTGATGATTATGATCAATAGATTTTTCTTAAAAATATCTAAATGTATAACATTCTGAAGCACACTATGACATATTCATAGAAATTGCCTAATATGAGTTTAGTTCTAATCGTTCATAGATGTCTATTTTGACTTAGAATTTGGATATAAGACGTTAAGAAAAAAAAAAGCTGTTCTTTCAAGAAACGATAAATATATTGAAAATCTACCTTGAACAGGTTGTATTGAAGTCATTTCATTATTTAACTGTTGTTGTTGTTCTTCTTCTTTTCTTGGTGGTTTTAATTCAGCTGGAATTCGAATTTTTTGTCCAGTTTTTGGAGCATCAACAGCTTCAGAAAATAATTCTGCTAATCGACGACATTGTGTTGAATTAACTCCAAGAAGATTTGCCCAATAATTATAATAATTATCAATAATCCCTGATTGATTAGTTTTTTGTGCATTAGCAAAATGAGATATCATTTCTTTTCGTGTAATGAATTCAGATTCTTGTACTTTTGCTGTTGAATTATAATTCATTGGTTTATTTGTTTGTTTTGGAATTAAATCATTATCCCAACAAATGAGATATTTATCACCATCTAAATCACTTCCAGCCTAAAACAAAATAATAAACTTAGATAAATAATGAATTATTGTTTTTTAAAAAATCATTTGAATACAATTTCATTTGGATGTGGACGTTGACCTTTTGTTGGAAAAACAATAACATCATATAAATGTTCTAATTGTTGATATGATGTTAACTTTAAAACTCGAATATCACCTAAATGATAACTTGGAGATTTTGCTACAAAACAAATTTTTGAATCAATCATAAATTGTCTTCCATTAAATGTTGGACGAAAATAAACTTCACCAGGTTTTAATACACCATCTAAATAAAGACAGATATATATGAACTAAATTAGAAAATTCATCTGATCACAGACTAGAAATGAAAGGTTCAAATTGTAACTAAAAACATGAGTCAATCTTAGCAATCTGAGAAACAGAAAAAGAAACGTCATCCTCATTATTCCACTTATATCTCCGTCATTTGTCATCTGTTTTGTTTGAGCAACATCTCATTTGATAGAGTACATAAAATTGAACAACAACGTCTTGAATAGATTTCCGAAAAAACTGAGCTTTTATTCAGCTAACTTTTTTCGATTGTGCGCCTATTTTCGACATGATTATTAAGTGATGTGCAACTTTAATATAGTACATCTTGTAGAAAGTTTTGTGCTCTACGAAACCATTATAAAGATTTTAAGAAAAAAGTTTCAAAAAAGGCAGCGGGTTTTTCTTGAGACATAACTTGTCGCTTTTTGACTGGTATTTAGCAGATTTTGCTTCGAAAAATCACGATTTTTTCAAAACTAATATTATATTCTAAACCGTCATCTGAAACTGAGTCGACTGATGTACATTTCAAATAGCTTTGAAACATTCTTTTTCTCATTGAAAAATTTCCTCCCAGTCCCACTCAGAATTAAAGTCAAAAACTGAAATTCAATAAAGTTTTTTTTTGATTGGAAAACAAGTTCTAAGGTAACAATATCTCAGATATTTCAAATACATATAAGTTGGTTCAAGAGAGAATCTTCCCACATATCAAATCGTTTTTCGATCGAGACGATATTTATTTGATCAGAACTAGAGAGTAGTACAAAAGTCTAGAATGGTTTACTTTTTGGAACCTTTATTCTTGAGATATCGACTGAGTTTTTCGTCTTCCTCGGGTCACAGAGTAAATTGACTTTCGAGGTCAAATTTTGCATGAACAAAGTTCTCAATCAGATTTATTCGGTGGACAGGTTGTAACTTTTCTAATATCTTCCATTCTAAGATATTCAATATTCTCACGTGCGTAAGAACAAATTTTGTTCATACAAAGTTTGAACTCGAAATTCGAAAGTTGGTTTTCTCTCTGACCTGAAGGGGATAAGAAATTCAGTAATGTTTCGATATTTCAAGAACAAACGCTCGGAAAATCACACTATGGTAGGTTTTTCTATTATTCTCGAGTGCTCATCAAATGAACATCGTCTCGATCGAAAAGCGATTTGACACCTGGAGAGGTTCTCTTGTTACTTTCTGATGATTATTCAGAATATCATAATCATTTTGAACAAATCGTGATTTTTCTAAGCAAAATCTGCTAAATATCAGTTAAAAAGCTACAAATGTATGCCTCAGAAATAATGCGCGGTATTTTCCGTAACTTTTTTCTTACAATGTTTATAATAGCTTCGTAGAGTGCAAAATATACTCTACAAGATGTACTGTATTAACGTTGCACCCCGATTAGTAATCATACTAACAAATCGGCTTATAACCGAGAAAAGTTAGTTTAATGTGCTCTTTCAAATGATATGTTGCTTAAATAAAACGGATGAAAAATGATGAAGATGTAAGTGGCTCAGAGTCTTTCGTGTTTCAACGCTTATAACTCCATCAAATCAAATCGTAGGAGTCGAAAAATGTTTTTATAAGAATGCTCGATTGATTGGTGAATCCTTTCTTAATAAANAAAAATCAATCATATCTCATGAAAGATGTGAGAGGCTCCTGTATTTTTCAAGGTTCAATATCTTGTGAAGAAAAAATATCTTTTAGCTGGAATTTTCAGAGCACGTTAGTTACAAGTAGACCTATTCGTAGACGAAATTTCAGATCGAAATATCGTCATTCGATTTGTTAGCGTATACTATGCTATAGGCGAAAATTCCAGTAAAATGGCTATAACTCTGAACGAAAGGCCTATGGGCCCTTATCTTTTTGGGATTTTTCATATCTTACTGGGATCTACCTTATGCACAGAGTTCGAACTCAAAACCGATTAATCACTTCGGGTACCTCCCTCGTGAGTGGGATGTACTAAAATAGTTTCTTTTATTGTTCTGTTGGATTTTACGAAGGAGTAATTTCAAAATATGAAACAGCAAACTATACACAGTGCCATTTACAGTTGAAAAGATTCGTTCAACAAGAAGAACACGAGCATTCTAGTTAGAATGAGAAGCAAAACTCGAGATAAAGTGAACTAGTTTCTTATCTTTCAGATCCTTTAGAATCTAGGAGTATTTTTACGATTTTATTAAAATAAATTCGTAAAACATATTTTACTGTATAGGACTCCAGATGTAACACTTACAAGCAAGATTTTCATCTATTCTTCTTATTTTTTTCCATCGTGTCAGTTTTAGTTACTTTCATCAAGTCGATAAGAAGAGAACGAAATCTCGAGGACATAAGAAACGTAACAAAAAGTCTAGATAGTATCATTATTTTCGGACTAGCTAATTGGACAGATATTCAAACATAGAGCATGAGAGATAAATCCATGACAATTCATTTGTCAATGTGAGATATTATTCTTGACTTATTTTGATATAATTCATTCACTGATGCTACTATTGTCAAGACTACAATCTCAAGGTACGATGTGTTGATAAATTTTTCTCGCCAAACATGTAACTATGATTTGAATACAACTTTTTACATCATAATAAATCTCTGGAAAGAGTTATATGCAAATTATTCGACATTTTATCAATTAGTTCAGTTGCACGGAAAAGTCCAGTACTAACTGAGCTAATCAATTGACAATTATGTGACTTATATTTTCTCTTTCTAATTCATAATGTGACTTGACGAAAACTATACTACTACATGTACCTTTAGATATTTTCGTGCTGTTCTTCTCTTACTTTTCCTATTCATGATAATTCTTCATGCGTAACAATGAAACGATATATACATTACACGACGTAGGATAGACGAAAGCATATTTACGAGCTATCATAGATAAGAATGTACAATAATGTTTATGAACCTGCAGTCATGATCAAATTGATCAAGAAACATGAAGCACGAATCCGAATGTTGCTGACTTACAAGAGGATGAGTACTTAAAATATCTCGCTACTCAACGATTACAGGCGGCAATATCTTTTGTCATACACGATGACATTGTTACTCTGCCTGTTCTTTATAGACATGATAGTGAGCGTACACTCCTATCTGATAACCTAACCAATATCGACAAGTTTTCTCTTTTACAAAAAAGAACTCGTTGTTTGTTTTTATACTGTATCTTATTTCTGTTCATGATTTGTCTTTTTTCCTTCATAATAGGATTAGTCGTAGTCTTGAGAGGGAGAAACGAGTAGACCAATACCAATAACCAAACTAATAGTATGTTATTCAAACTTGCACATATCCTCAATAAGTTGATTCCAATTCGAAAAGATTTTTCTCATAAATCAATATGCTAAAATTATGTCTATTGAGTGTGAGTGTGAGCGTGTATGTTCATTGTCCCTTCGCTCAAACCTCATCTACACCCAATGACGTACTCTATCTCATGTTTAATTCAATTGCGCTCATTTAATTCAGGTGTTGGCGTCAATCATCTCTTCATCCACATCCACCGTAACAATTGTAACAAAGATAGTCACCTCTTGTTGATCGCAAAAATTTAGGTCATCCAGCTACTTTTAACAATACTTTGATCGACAGAATGCAAGACTCTCGTTAAGCTTACAGTCTCTACGAGAAAATCGAGGGTTCTGTCTAAAGTTTGTCTTTCCATCATATTCTTTTCCATAAGCACACAAAATTACACGTTTATATTTCATGTCTAACGATCAACGTATAAGTGAATGAAATAGCAAACAAAGTAGAATCACAAAAAAAATATGAGGAATCACTAGACAATCAATTATCTATCTGCTTGTAGAACGAAGTGTACAAACTAAAATTAATGAGGCAAACGAAGAAAAGAAAAAAGCAAGAGTAGAATATACGTTGATTATGTGTGGAGTTGTTTCAGGAGCAAGTGAAAGGTGGTGGGTGAATGTATGAAACATTTGTATTTTCATCATTATATGCAACATAGTGTGGAGATGCTTTCGATCTCTTGTGCATCTATGTGCCCTAACTTACTCGGCACACTACCATTTTAAATATTACTTGTTTAAATGGGTGCGTCTCCTTGCTCAGATAAAGCAATAATCTTTACAAAGACGTATTTTTTTTTCTTGTTGCACCATTTTGCGGTATGGTGAGGATTTGCTAGAAAAGATCGAGCCGGTGATAAACCATGTCTGATAATGACGAGAAGGCAGGAAACGGTGACCTACAGCTGCTATCTCTGAATAAATCCAAATGATAAAAATTTTTCGAAGATGTCTGGTTTGCCTTGATGGTGCGCATAGATAACTCTTAAAGATCTTATAATAGACAGATATTTGTTGTCAACTATTCAACTGGCATTCTCGTCGGATATTGAATATTATCGGTAATTTACAAGTTAATCAAACAAACTTTTGCCTAACATATGATTGAATTATCTTCCAAAGTTCAATAGAAGCTACGACAGTGAGATATCGGTTTCCAGAAACTGTTATCCATGCATCCTGATACAAATTGTGGCGCTGCACAAAACTGATTATGCTATCATGCTTATGAGTTTAGTTCTAGTTCTATGAAGTGAAAATACATCATAATACACTTCAAGTTTTTTTTCAACTCGCTCAGAAATCATTTTATGATATAAAAAAAAATCAAATAATTCTTATTGTATTTATTTTTTCATAAATTTATTTGCATTTGCTGTTATTTATAGCATATAGTTCGCAAAGGCATAAGAGAGAACAAAGTAAATACAACGCGAAAAACTGAGTAAATATATAGAACGTAAATAATTTCGATGTCAGACGAGCAGTTAATCAATGAACAAAGCTAACATAGAACTTGTAGTCCTGTAGAAGCATTTATAAAAGAACATCCAGTCACAAATCGCGTTTTTTGGCTCCTTCCTACTCCAATTCCAATTTACCGAACTTGTCCGATTCTTCCACCTTGAGCATCCATTTTTAGAAGATTTTTTTGATGAAAAGATTAGTGTAGGTGTGAGGTGTGGATATTTTTTTCATCATGTTAACACCTACGCCCAAGCCAAATATAGGATTTTGTAAAGCAAACTTTGCTCTATCGATTGGTATAGAACAGTAACGATATTGATCAAGTTGGCAAGTTAACAAAATCAACGAACAAAATTTTTCCGACAATTAACTATTTTTTACATATCTGTAGCCCATCTTAAAAAAGTTGGGTCACCAAGTCACTAGAAGATTTTATTGGAAAGAGCTAAAAATTTGGGTTTATGACTAACCTTGTGTGTCCTTTTGAACCTCATTGTTTGTTTCAAAATCTAAAATTTTTCGGCACCCAGCTGTGTTGGTGTCCCGGTAGACAACACCTTTTGAAAAACGGGTTAAGGTTTTGAAACTTACGCGTTTTTATGTTGGTCTCGCTCTTGATTTTGCGAGTTAAAACGTGTTCACAGAACTCAATAGATTTTAATGTAGTAATGTCTTATAAACGACTTGAATTATGTTTTTAATTTTGATACCAGCTTACTGTGTTCAATATCGGCTTATTATAGCTTGTTTATTTAGCAGAATTTATTTTTTTAATTTTAATATATTATCTCATGAACGTTAAAATATTGATTGCTAAATCCAAGACAGTATACTCAATATTTATAGAGTATGTGAGCCTATATCCATATTTGAACTGATTACTAAGCAGATGACAAACTATTTACAAATGTTAAAACAGAAAACAATATTGTAAAGGTATTTTTATGTATTTATATTTTTATACACGGTGGATTCTTTGTAGCAGTTTTCATTTATTCTTCTTTAATCTTATTCATATTATAGTTGTTTTTAAACTCATATTCGATTATAATCTGTTTTATACAATAGATTTATTATCAGTTGGTTGTATTACGTTTATCGATACTTCTTTTAATATGAAGGATTTAAAGTCAACAATATAAGTTTAAATGAGCTTGCTTTAATATATAAAAAGAAAAAGATGTGAATAGAATAATTTAATTTTTTATTCACAATATAAAATAAAAGAGAATTAAAGAATTGAAGATAATGTTCAAGTAGATTCTAAAAGATTGGAAAATATTCGGATTCCACAAATTATAATATTTTTTCAAACGACAAAAGTACACATTGTCTATGAGATATATATAGGTATCGAAAAAAGAACATGTTTTACTTGTCTGACTGCCACAAACGATCTATCACATGCTTCTAGAATTCTTACTCTGTCTAGAAAATTTTCGCTGCATTATAAAAACCTTCTTCAAAATAATTTTGTAAACATGTTGACTCTAACTTGAGTAGATAATATGGAACAATAACAAGCAATTTTAATGTGGCAACTATAAACCATCCTATTCATACTTCTTTTTTCATTTTTTTTTCAACTATTAGACCGATAGATTTCTTTCATTCAGTCATTTATATATTTTTCACTCGAATGTGCTCATGATATTATTTCTTGCTTGATAATCTATCTCACTGATTATTGCAGAGAAATATCCTTCTCATAGACATAATTTTTTTTCTTCTAATTAAGTCAAGATAAAATCAGTATAACCAAGTGAGAAATGACTTCGACACTTTAGTTGGTTTTATGTTCCTTGTCTTTTCTTTACTTTGCCTTTGCCTTAGACAATTTAGGCATATGAGCAATCGATATAGCTCATCAACTATATATATATATTGTTTCTATCAACTATGATGATGAGTTCGATTTGGACTTTAGTTCGATCATAGAATCAAAACTAGTATAATTGAATAAAAGTAGTTGATATCTTTCAAAGCAAATCCTCGAATAAATAACTGTCAGATAAATGAGAAGATGTGATGGAGCTTGCACATGTGTCAGTTATTTACCCACACATAGTTACTTTCTATTATAATAACATAAGCGAATCATCTAGGGTAAAGAGACAACTGAATACTTCATGATTACTTGAGAGCTAGTTAGAAGTATACTTTCCAACGATATTAACTCTATGCCCACCTAACATCGATAGATCTACCTTTGTACGATGGAAATTAAGTTAAAATAGTTAGGAAGTATAGTTTTAACTACGTAGCTCTCAAGTAATCAAAATTGTAAAAAGCGCACATTTCAACATGTAAAACTATTCAACATCGTAATATCTCGTTTCAGAATCATAACGCGTTGAAATATGCAGTTTTTACGATTTGGAACGCGTTTAGTTTTGAACCATTTTTATGGGTATTTTTATTATTTTTGTGTGGCTGAGTAGTGTTTATTATTCTCAATTATTATTTCAATTCTTACTTAGAAATTAGCTAAACTTTGCAAAAGCACTTCTCTCTGTTCGATATATCGATTATTCCAGCAATGACACCCCTTTTCAATACAGAATTTTTTTTAAAATGATTTCTTCAGTTTATTTCAACTGATGTCTCTGTCTTAAGATCTTGACTAGTAACCGAAAGCAAAAATTTTCGCTAGTAACGATCATTAGTTAGAGAAAAAATTCTTTTTCGAAATTGAACCAATAATTTTTGGACCCAAAAAATGGAGACATTTCTACTATTTCTCCAATAAAATAAGAAAACCAAAAAAGAAAAATCTTAAAATAATAGCATCTATATTATTAGCAACGGGCTACGTTATGGCCTGTGTTCGAGGTCTCTTGTTCATTTGGTTCGAGCATATCAGAGAAAATGAACTGATGACGAAATGATAGGGCAATAATTTTTAGATTCACTGTATCTTCTGTCATTGATGTTTCTCTTTTCTCTTCTCTCATGCTTTCTTATATAAACTTATTCATGTAACTAAACGGAAGCATTGATAGAATATTTATTAAAATAATATTATTAATACGAGTTCGTTGATCATTTTCCCACTCTTCTTCTCGTTGCATTGCAATGCTTGTCAGCATTCCTATAGGAAAAAAGAAAAAAAAGTTTATATACAATTGTAATTCACTTTCTTTTATGTGCGAAAATAGTTTGTTAAACGCATGGAAAGCTTACACATCTTTTTTTTTTAAATAAAAGTAAACAACCGATAAACGAATTCGTATTACTAGAATTATCATTTATTGAAATTTCTCTTTTTTTTTCTTTTAAAAATGTGAACTCAAAAAATAACATAATAAATTGAATGAAAAAAAAAAAGAATATTCTAAAATATTAAAAGTAGCTATAGATTCGGATAGGCACTTGTGACAGAATAGCGAGCGCATCACTTCTGGTATTGGCAGAAGAAGAAGAGTTGCGTCTCAGGTGGCACATGCTCATTCGGCTGAAATATCGCAGCATAACTATCTAACACGGTGAAGGATAGATCCTTGAGGAGACGGGTTATGACTTCGCGTGGATACGCAGAGACATGAATTGATTGGCCAAGAAATTGGATTTTTTCGTAATCACAATCTTCTTCCACCATCGACAGTACGAGATAGCCGGGCGTCTGTAGCATGCCTCTTAGCCGCTGAAGCGTTGATTCAATGCAATCGCGTCGGAGCATTAGCAGCGAGAAAAAAGCCGTAATCGCATGATATGATGCTGGAGCACATGTAAAGTCGACTACATCCGCCTGGAGGAACGTTGCTTCTGGTACTCTGCATTTGGCGATCCGCACCATCTCTAGTGAGATATCAATTCCGGTTACCCTGTGTCCTGCATCAGCTAGCATGCATGCAGTTGGTACACCTGTGCCCGAACCCACATCTAAGACATAAGAGTTCGAAGGCAGCCGTTCGAGCAACCACTTTACAGCAGCAATTTGGTTTTCGTTACGGCCATACACTGTATCGTATTGTTCGGCAATATGGTCAAATGCTATCGCCTGCTGATGTGTTTCGTCGGAAAAGGAGTCGGAGGCCATAACGATATTCAATTGTGGATAGAGCTAGGTAATGACTCAAATATTCTCTTCACGCATTATTATCTCTTATCTTGTCAAGTTGTTTTTTCTTCCATTCTGTACTCATCGCTACCACTACTATAGTTTCTATCGATGACTCTCGACCCAGATGTCGTTAATATTTGATCATTGCCTAACTTGCTCAAATTAGTAGTCACAATAAATTGAAGAGATGATTGATAGCTCTATCCTCTGCTTGATTAGCTCTGATAATAGAAGGACTCGTCGGTTCGATTATCAAGCCGAAACAAGAATTATTGAATCCGTAGATGATGAGTCACGAGTAAGAGCAAAAGACAACGTCGTAATTAAAGCAAAGCAAGGAGGCAGCCTTTTTCACTGCTCAATATCAAATGCAAAGTAAAAGCCACCGCTCTTAAATATACGATAAGTCTAAACATTTTATTCATTAAATAGAATTTCTTTTAATTCGTAAATGTCAGATACTTGCTGAATGACATTAAGTGTAAAATTTGAAATACGTTCTACATCTTCGTGATGAGAAAATATTACAGAAAAAAAGGATTCCTTTAAGAAGAGTCGTGTTAATTTCATTGATTCACTCAATCTATTTTAACATGTGACACGAACAAAGATTATTGTACTAATAGTGTTCTTTTATCTTCAACACTATGTAAATCATATACGGAGAAATGAATCGTAACGCAACAGTTAATCCACCATAAGTGCCTAACAGTTTTGTAAAAATAAAAATAAAATCATGTCGTTTCTCAAATATATAAGCACAATAAGCTGGTGCGCACTGTTCATAAAATATCGAATACGAAACATTGATCTTCCATTGCTCGATAAAAAGTGCTTTAACAATGGTGAGTATAGTTGTAGTCGAAAGAAAACGACTTGGCAATCTAGGATTCATAGCGATTATATAGCGTGAGGCATTAAAATAAACAACATTCTCTACGCCAAATTTTTGTAACATATCAATACATGTTTGATTGTATAAACATTCGAATGTTGATCGAAATAATGTTTCAATTGCTGAACATCCAACATGAAATCCAGGCATATCAAATATTTGTTGGTCAGTGAATACACGATAAATACCTCCGGAATTAATACAATCGCTTCGTTTTCCACATGAACAAAATTTATTGGGTGAGACAGCACGCATAGGAACTGTTGCATTACTACTATTATCTGTTACCCACCAATTCCAATTTAATACATATGCAGATATAAAAGAGTTTCCATTTGTAATATCACGTACAAGTTGTAAGGCCCGAGAAAAACGATATGGAGTAGTTATCTTAAATTGTTCAAGAATAATATCCATCTGAGATAAAAACTGTGATTGAGATTTTACTTGAGCACTAACGTAAGATTTCTCAAGAAATTGATCAACAGCATTATTAAATGTTATTTGTGAAAGTATACATAATTCTGATAGTAATTGAAAATATGCAGATCCACGTCCTCGAATATCGGAAGTTATTTGATAGGCCCAAAAACCTATTCCAAAGAGAAAATCAAGCCAAACATCTTGTACAAAATCACTAGAGCACACTTGATGAAAGTTGGCATCAATTGTAATAAATTTCTTGTACGGTATAGCAACATGAGTACAAGTGCATTGAAGTGTATTTGCATGTAAAATTTGTAATTCTTCATATCGAGCTTGTGAAGGCATCGACTCAGATACACTAACTATATCTTTTGAAATAACAATGTAAAGAATTTGAATTGATAATGTACAGAAAAAAAGAATAAAATAAAGACGTGTTGCGAAACGTTCAAGACGAATGATATCAATTTTCATTGAAGCACTGTCGAATATATTTAATGTTAATACTTTTTGTCGAATTTGATTAAGTTGAAATTTTCTGAGAAAATTTCTTTGACAGTTTTCTAAAGTATATAGACAATGCATTTATGTCAAAGTTCTATACTGATAATATAAGCTGTAGATTTCAAGACATTATCGATATATATTTCGTATCTGATATTAGAATCTTACTTTTATAACAAAATCAACGACAAAATAGCAATATAAGTAGATCAAATTACTTAATTTAGTCTTGTTTTGTTGTGAATTTCATCAAGTTTTATTTATATTTAACGATGACGCTTATCATCTTAAAATTCTTTCTTTGGAATTTTTCGCTACATTTTTAAGAAATTTCTTTCTAAACTCTTCACAAGGCTTTATATCATTTGATTTAGCTTTCAATTATAAGCATATATAGAAGAACTAAATTATTTTGACTTACGATTAGTTATTTTGTGAGTAGTCCATGCTTGTGGGAGATTATCTGGTGCGATTATATTGGTATTCTTAAAAAACATATTGATAATCAATGGACTAATCAATCTTAGAATGACGTTAAGACCACCAATAAGTCCAATGATTGTAGCAAGCAAAAATACAGCATTCGTTTTTTCTTGGTAATTATACAAGCAATATGCAGGATGACACTTCTGATAAAAGTTATTATAAGATACTGATGTGTTCCATTGTTCAATCATTATGTTTCGAACAATTATCTCTATGGCAGTATTTGGTGGAAATTTACTGATTTGTGTAGTATCGAGTAAATTCATATTATTCGGAATCATAGCACCACCATAATGAAAATCTTCTAGAATGTCTTTCCAGCAGCTACTATTATACCAACAAGCAAGTGAAGATTGAAAAACAGAATCAATTATAAAGCAACCTGTACGTAATCCATAAATTGTCGGAAGATTATTGAGAGTTGCTAGAGTCGTACATGAAGAATTTCGAGCACAAATACATGTTTTATTATCGTCTAGAGTAATGATCTTACTAAATGGGAAAAGTTGTAATGGATTTTCAGATGATATTCCATATCTGCGAGAATCCCATGCAATAATTTCACTATTTGTGTTTTCAAAACTTACATATTGATTTGCATGAAGTGCTGTACGAACCATTGATGGAATATAGATAAATTCGTCTTGTGTCGAACTAATAAATGTATTGAGAATTGCTTGTGTTTGGGAAGCAAATAAATCACTTGATGGAACTTCACTATTGATAAAATATGTTGAAAAGAAACGTCTAGTAGCATCAATAACAGTCAAATTAGCTAATTCACATAATGTAGCTAACATTTGAAAGTGCGATGATGCAGTTGAACGAAAAGCATTGAATAGATTGCTAGGTTTTGAAGTAACAAGTTGTTTATACCACCAAGGTTTTATAAAATCACTTGAACATATTTGATGATAGACAGGACTAATTTGAAAAAAATCTCCATATGAAATTGAAATATTTGTACATGAACATTTTAACGTTGTTGAATATTGTTTTTCTAATTCTTCGTATTGTTCTTGTGAAGGTAACTGAATAGTTTTGTGTATCATTGTCGTGGAAAAAACTGTATAGAATATAATAATACTTATAGAAATAATTAAAAGTATAATATAAAGTCGAGTTGACATAAGTTCACAACGCATTTTGTATATATCTTGTGAGTAAGTATTGAAGAAATTAACCTGTTTGATAGAAACTTTAAATTGATTAAACAAATTTTTGATACGAATCTTTATGTTTATTTCTGAAATGACAAAACAATTATATAGGACTAATATTCATTACAATGACCTTTTATCTTACTTTCTATTTGTATAGGTTCTGTTTGTAAGATTTGTTTTTCAAAAAAACTTGATAGAAAATTGATCGAATATAGACAGATTAAACGTAAAGCAACACTAAGTCCTCCGATTAAACCGATTATATTTGTCGTAATATAGATTACATTAGATCGACATGAAATTGTATAAGTACATGAAATTGGAAAGCATTGACGATAGTATGATTCATAAATTGTTTTATTAATAATTTGTTCAATAAAAAGATCATGGGCTATATATTCAATTTTAGTTTCTGGTAGAAATCGACTTGATATTGTCTTATTCAATATAGAAACATTGATACGTTCCGAATATGCTGACAAGAAAATATCTAAACATGATTGATTATAGAAACATTCTAATGATGAAGCAAACATCATTTGAAATGGTAAACAATCAACAACAATGCCTGAAAGTGTTTCATTTGCAATGATTATTGTAAGATTGTATAAACCATAAGTTTCCCATGATTTGTATAAATAAAGATTACCAGGCATGGGACATGATCGATCACTTTGACAAAAGCAAATTGATGTCGATCCTGATTGTACGTATCGAGTTTGACCAGTGAAAAGAACCGTTGATGTTGTCCAACCATCAGCTGGCAGCTCGGTGATAGCATTTGTTAGTAAACCTGTTAAGAGTCCGCTTGCTTGTGTGATTTTATCCGTGGCTATAAATGATCGTGCAGAAGTATATGCAGTTGTCTGACGTATCAAATCAACAACAGCCTGAGTCTCAGTTTGTAATACTTCTTCGGCAAGTAACATTGAACTAATCATTGATCTATGAGTTAATTCATTGAGTGCATCGATAAGAGTATCATTCACATAATTACAAAGTGCAGCAAGTAGTTGCCACATAGAACTCATACTTGTTCGTACATCCATCGGCCACATTGTTGAAGTATTATTGTCAAATGTAAAATCAATCCATTGTTGAGATACAAAATCACTAGAACAAACTTGATGAAATAATGGTGTTACTTGAAGAAAAGTATCATAAGGTATCGAAATTTGTGTACATGAACATTGTAGAGTATTTGAATATTTTTTGTATAGTTTTTCGTATTCGATCTGTGTAGGTTGTTTGACAGTTTCGATTCTGACATGTATAGTAAGTGCATTGTAGATGGTAATAATAGAAAGTGAAATAGCAAATGTAATAAGAAAAAGACGAGTTGAAAAAATTTCACGACGAGTAATTATTAGATTTGTTGATTTTGTATTGTAGAGATTAAGTGAGCCGATTTTCGAACACAAAAAATTGAATAGTAATCGTAAATAACCCATACTAGACAAAAATAAAAGTTGTTTGCTCGATTGATTACTGATCAACGACACAATCCTTTCAAAGTTCACATGCACATCACAAAGCTAATCAAGTAAAATGCTCAATTATTATTATTCATTTCAAAATAAAAGAATGATGGGTATTTTTCAAATAAATTTTGTTAGGAACAAAATAGAAATCTGCGTTTTTCACTGTTTAAGAGAAAAAATGAAACTGCATCGAATCGTATAGATTAGATTTTTCTGATGAGTTTTCTCAGAGTCTGTCATCAAGTTTATGAAAAACAAAACATTGTGTAATGTAAAAAATTTAGAATTTTTATTTTCAGGAGTACACTAAAATTATTAACTGAAGCTCTGTAAATTTTGTCAGTTCGATATTGTAACATTTAGCCCATTACGATATGCAAACATATCAGTATGTATTATCGGCAGATTTTTCACAAAAAAAACGAGAAAACTTGTACGAAAAATCTGGTCTATACGATTCGATGCAGTATCATCTCTTTTAAACAATGGAAATCACAAATCTCTATATTATTCCTGTCAAAAATTATTCTAGAAATACTTACTCTTCTGTTATTTTGAAATGGATATAACGATAAAGAATCAGAAGATTCGAAAGTTTTGAAAACAAGATTTCTAAAAATTCTTAATAAATTGAAATAATACATTTAAATTGCATTTGTTCTCGTATTCGACAGTGATATGATACATATATAGATAAAATACTACTTTTTGCGAAGTAAAAAATTTTGAATTATTATTGATATAAACAGGAACTTTCTAATAAAAAATGTTTTGATTGCCTGTCTCATTTGAAAATCGCCTTAATTTTGTTTCAGATAAATTCTTATATTCGATAAATGAAGAAATTACTTCTATACACCGCCTCGATCGTGTCGGACTTCCACTAGCTGCTTCAAACTGTTGCGAAACTTTGTGCTTTAATGGAAGGTCCTACTATTAAGAACATGCGATTGTACGTAACAAATTGGTATAAAACTCTATATTTCATCACAGAAACTGTAATAGTAGAGAACAATCATATATATCGAACTTACAAGCTCCGTTTAATTCAAGTTTCAAATGCACCCCACATCTCTCTCGACATGGATGTCACGGAAACACAGACACACTACGTCTCCTTCAATACGGATGTGAATTTAGTTGGGGGAAATGCTCACAATCGCAAACCAAAACCATTCACATCACACTCGCCCTCATAACCTAATATAAACCTTCTTTCATACGCACATAACACTCACCATTTATGATCAGCTAACTCTATATTTATGCTTGTTCTTCTTTGTATGTCAGAGTTTAATCGTTAAATGCACAATAGTGTAGTCATTTGTTGCTTAGTTTATCTAATTGCACAGTTAAAATCATAAATGTAGACAGGATATTAAAACAAGGTGAATTTTTTTAGTTGGACGTCTCTCTTTTTTCAGCAGTAGAAAACAATTCGATTGGTAAAAGAAAAGGATGATTTCAAACGAAGATCAAACGTTTCGATCAAAAATGCCTTTCTTTTCACCACGATACATATCAAAAACTTCGGCTTCAAAAGACATATTTATTGTATAAAGATAGGTATACCAATATACAACATATGTGGACAAATGAAAACGCAGCGGGAAATAGTTTATTAGAGAGAAAAAAATGTTTTTTACTACTTGAAATAATGATGAGAGAGAAAAAAAATGTCTCTCACCTATATAGATATATATATATATGTTGTCGCATATAATATCAGTTGACAAATGAAAGTGCAGCGGAAGAATACGTTACGAGCGAGGGAAAATGATTTATTACATAGGAAAATGGTTTTTACTACTTGAAATAATAATGAGAGAGAAAAAAGAATGTCTCTAACCTACCTAAGAAAATACACATTTCTTGTTGATATGTATAATGAGCGAAGCGAATCTCAAGTTGATGATTCCAACGGTAGTATACGTAAATTTCCAGCCGGAATCTGAGGAAAGAATGTGAGTGTGTGTGTCTTGTTGTAGATTGATTTTTTTATGACCACACCCACACTCTTCATTATTTCAAATAAATTTTCTTATAGATTTCTTCTGTTTTTCGAAGAGTAAATGGCTAATGTTTACATAGAATTGCGCTATGTCTCGACTCATAGTGCTTCGTACCGAGAAGGAGTCATTTTTGACCCGAACGTCTTTTTCCGCTTCAAATCAGTGTTTGTGTCATCGATCGAATATTTGTTCAACCCTCTCTTTTTCTTGGCTTTCAGCACTCATTTGTAGATAAAAATCAGTCAAACGCTGGTCAGCACTCCTCCTCATTCGTTCGACTAGCGCAGAGTGAAGAGGAAAGAAAAAGAAACGATAGAAGAAGGTGAATGATTTTATTCATGATTCATTTCTTTGATTAGAAGAAACTCGCTAGAAGAGAGATCAATCAATATTGGAAGACATATTCTTACTTGAGAATTGGTACATGAATGTTGCTTAGTTTCCAAATATTAAATGGAAAAAATGAAGATAGAATAACTCAGGAAAGCGTGAAGAGACAATAGCAGCTAACACAAAAAATATTCTTAAGTAGTAAGAAGAATTCGTGCATGCATAAGTTTATACAATTGGCTGAACATTTTTCGGCCATTCAATTCAGCACTGCACAACAAGCATCAGACAGAGAGAGAAAGAGAATTGTCTCACTGCAACAATGAGGTGAAAATGATCGTAACACGATAAGTTCTAGTCTTTCCAGAGGCAAAAATGTGCATGAAATTTACTCAACTATAAAACTTCGATTCTGCTTCTATCCGCATTCTTTTAAAGATATTGTATTCATTACGTTTATTCTCGTAGTCAGGTTTTTTCATGAGAAAAGAAAAAAATTTTCTCTTTTCATGCCTAACCTTCTCTTCTACGGCTTGAATTGTGATCAATGTTATGATATTCTTACAATTAGGGAATTTTTAATGTGTTTCATTCATTCTTCGCAGAAATATTAATACTTCATGTGATTTATAAGGGAAACTCTTCTTCTAATTGAAAATTTATGAGAATTTGTAATGAGTTTTCTAAAAAAATCACTTTTAACAAAACAAATGAGTTTGTTGCTATTATTGAATCAATTCATTTTCGCAATTTATTCGAATGTCAATACTATAAGAAACTCTATGCATTCTCATATATTTGCATGAACTTGAATCATGAAAAGACTTAATGTTGATAGAAAGTCACTCTGGACTATTGCTAACATAAAAATGTTTCACATCTTTAGATTTCCAGCTGAATAATTTTAATTAAATCGTAAAATAGCATGAAATAACTAAAAAAAGCAATTACTGTTTCAAAATGAAATGCTCAAGTGAAGACTGAATGTGCTAGACAAATTTCTTTTTCACAAGAAGTTAATAATCACGCTATATATGTTTTTCAGTTTTCTGAAAGTTTTTCTTCGAATAAAAAGAGAAACAAAAAGGAAATATTATGACGAAGCAGTGCTTGAAAACACTTATGTACACATACTGTTAGTAGATCACCAGTCATTCGTACTAGAAATGAAACAAAAGTTGTGTGACAGTTCATGTACGAGGATGATCTATAATTTTGTTCTAGCTTGTAGTAACTTGTGATTGCACAAGCATTTTGATCGTACATATCATCATTCTTATTATGTTCGATAAATAATGCTTTCAATCAATTTTTCATTTTTAGAACGGTAAACTAAATTTTGTAGGAAATGTCTGAAAATACAATTTAGTAATACAAATATACAGACACTTATCCATTTTATTTGACTAAGACATTTGAATCGATATTTTCCTAATATATCGTTCTCAAAGTGCATACTTAACTAGCGCTTTTAACATGTAATTCGACTGACTTAATCATTGATCTTAAAGTTTCAAAGTTTGAATTTGATTTCTGATTGTTTTGCAGAAATATTTAGTTCTTCCAAAAAAAATTCATTTTCAATAGCATTGCTCAATAAAAAGAAGTGACTCGTTCTCGACAGTACCGCCATACTTTCTTGTTCTCAACGTATCCAAATATATTGTGCACACTTAACAACAAAAACGCAAGCTTTTTTCTTCCATCAATTTTGATTACTTTTTCTATCATTTTCGTTTCTTTATGCATGAGGAGAGAAAAATAAAGCAGAAGAGCTTGTCGAACATATTAGAGACGTTACACAAGTCCAAACAAAAATAGCACAAGAAGCAAGAATGTGGACGAACGTGTGAGACAAAAAATACTAACACTCACATCTCATAGAATATTTTATGCTCATGGTTACATTGGGAGGTATCGACGTGAAATGAAAATTGAGTGAGGCAAACTCGAACACAAGCATAAATGAAATGATTGTTTCCTTATAAGAAATATTGGTGTGTGGGGGAGAGGAGGGAGGGAGGTACATTCATCAGTAGATGAGTTAGCGGTCGACCGTGTCCAATTAACAAGCTTGAGGGTGAATGTGGGCGTGCTCTCTTATTTGTCCATACCCACAATCTTCGCACATCAACCCACACCCTTATAATTCAAACGTACCCCTTTCCAGAAAATTTCGAAATGCGGGTGTGGAAGTGAATGGAAAGAAGAAGTACATCCACATCCACACCCACATCCAACGCCTATATTTTATGAAAGTTTTTAGAGCATAACTGTTAGATGCAAGATGACGATTGATTGCAGAAAGAAAAGGAAAGCTTAAAAGAATATCGAACAACGAGGCGATTATGATTGCAAGTTTCGAATCCTGAACTTACTGTCGTTAAATTTACAGCAGTAAACAATACTTATAAGATATGCTTAGTCTAAATGCAAAGTTTAATAAAGAAACTTATGATGAGTTATTGATTGAAATAATTGACTTTGTATTAGACATAAAATAATGGAATTCTTCATTAAAAATTTAATATGCTATAGCACACTGAGATTTGAGAGCTTTCGATTCTTGGATGTATAATTATAAACTAGTTTATGTATGTTAAAAGACTTTAACCTAATACGTAACCT